ACCAAATAGGCTGCGGTGCAGGCTGAGGTGATGTCGAATAGTTTTCCTATTCGCTGGCAACGCAGCGACGAACGAGTGGATTCGCTCGCACTCCACAGAGGGAGTTGCTTTGAATCTGAGAATCAGACGACTTCAAGTGATAAAATGTGTATGGAAGAAAAGTAAAAAACACTATATACTTGAAGTTTGTATGTGTGTCGGCATTTGGTTGTGTGTATATGCATCGTGAATGCAGTTTGGTACAAGGTCGTCGGTTTGCCCGAGTGGTCTAAGGGGTCACGTTCAGGTCGTGATGTATTCGTACGCGTGGGTTCAAATCCCACAGCCGACATTTTTGCCTAAATTGCACTACAAGCTCTGCATTCACAAAAACCTCCCAAAGATTATATCTCCATCCCGGGCTCATTTGGCACTTCAAATTCCCTCCGCGCCTCATAGAATATGCTCAACATATATCTTATATATTTATGCTTATTTACGTCATTTAACACATCGGCGCGTCATTTTATCTCGGATTCGACTGGCTCCTGCTCGACAAATTGCTACCTGTTCTTCCTCATTCGACGCATGCGGGTAAAAAGCCGCACTATTTTGTACGATTTTTTACACATGGACCTAGTAGCACGATTTGTCAAATTTGAAGTGCAATATTTACACGATGCAAATATTGAAACGATTATTTGAACTATTCTTTTGGAGCTCCCGCGCTGTCCTCTATCTATGCACCGATTATGAGCGAATTTTTATTTCAGACTCATTTCGACACTCGGCCCTGCCTGCGTCGCTATTTTGATAAAAACAGCATTTTCCAGATAGCAATTCAGATAGCAATTCGGCGGTTAAAAATTGGACCTAGATCGAACTACCTTTAAAAAAGTCACGCGTAACCTGATGGCGTATCGTGGTCAACAAAGCATGTATCACTGAATTGAAAATCACCTCAAGGTCGATAAATGGACACGAGGTGCCCGCGTCGTCGAGAGTTATTAATAGTGGATATGCCTACACTAATTCGTACTACGAGTGAAATCGACACAAAAGCATATTTATTGTGTACGTAGCGGGTGAAAGCGTGACATGCAGGATCTTGAGAAGAGACTTTATATTTTGAGCAAAGATGAAAGACAATTAAACATTAATTATTGTTGTAGAAATAACAAATAACGCCTGGTGTGCGTTTTCGTAACGAAAGCGATCCGAGGAGCAATGGCCACAAAGGTCTCATGTGCGCGTCTCAAGACTTGCCCGAGCTGGTTTGAGAAAGCATGGTCGTCGCTTCCAGTGGGCATCGGCAGTCGGCTGTTTGTGTCTCTCCAGCGCTGTGACCAGGTCGCTCTTATGCTTTCAAGTCGAACGATCTGGCACGACGCCCAAGCATCCGAGGTTGGCATTCGACGACAACCAACTCACACCAATTAATACGTAGATGTGGGAGCTTGTGGGGACAGAGCTGTTCCATCTCTCGTGGAGTCGACATGGATCGTGGCGCACTGATTCCTGGGCAAAGTACGATGCGTTGTCTGCGGCCACGGCGGTCTGCACATATGTGCTCGGTCAAAACGCATTTAGCCTCGGGTACATCAACCGAGAAATCAAGGAGCGTATTCAGTCGCAGTTACTCGCGATGGTGCAGCTCACGGCAAATGTTTACGACACGGTGACGCGCGACGAGCTCGGGCGCCGCCACGTCATCAAGGTCCTCCTGCGCCTTCTGAGCTCCAACGTCATGGGCATTTGCGACGTCGCGTGCACGGCATTGGGCAACTGCGTTGCGCAGAGCACGTCGTCTTCCAACCAAGTCGAGGTGCCATCGCCGTTTGTGGCCGTAATTGACCAATTGCGGGGTCCTTTGAGTGTATAAATCCGTTTGAACTAAGCATTCCTGACGGTAGGCGACCGCGCGCTAAAGGAGCTCCTCCTCTCACCACGCGTTGCCGAGTGCGGCCCCGGGCCCACAAAGCATGCCTCGCGCGCCCTTGTCAACATGCTCTTCCCCAACGCAAGCATTGTGTGCCTCGACATTGACGTCTGGGAAGGCTACATCGTCGCCAAGCAGGCAAACGAGCGCCTCGACGACACCCTCGCTATGCCTGTCCATGAATCGTGGCGCATCTCGTACCGCCTCGGCAGTGGGCGACAGTACATGGAAGGCTCGATGAAGCTCTCAACGTGCATGCGGCATGGCGCCGGCGTGTCGAGCAAAGGCGAGTCCTTCCGGGTCGACGGGGCCCGACACGAGCGCAACGGTGTGCACAATTGGACCTTTGAGACCTCGTTTGACAACGACGGCCGGCCGTACGGCCCACTCCCGATTTCGCACATGGCGTTCTGGTCGTCGCAGCACGCGGATCTCATGTGGGGCGTCTGGGAAGTCGGCGCGTCGCACCAGCAGCACAAGCTCGGCACGGGCGGTGTCTTCTTCATGCACGCCACCCACGCACCCTCGTTCTATTAGTATCAAGACATCAAGGACACGGAACCTTTCTCATTTTTTTTATCGCACGCGTCGAGAGCAAGGATATCAGTGCGATGCACGCTGTTTCGAAGGAGTTGCTCCTATTGTTGACCTGTCAAATCGGATATTTCCGGCGCAGCCTTGCGCTTCGATGCCCAACCTCTCAGAGTGGATACAAATAAATACCCGAGGATCTTTCCAGCAGGATGCAACAGCCGCCGCAGCCCGAGCAGCCCGCGCCCGTGGGCCTACCGCCGACGCACGTCCGCCCACCAACGATCGTCACGGGGCATAGCGTCACGTTCGACGACGCGGCGCCGACGACGGCGGAAGTGACGACCGAGAAGCGCAACCAGTCCAAGTACGACTTTGTCAAGGTCCGCGTCTGGGTCGAGGACCACTTTTACGTGCTCTCGCGCTACTTGGTCTGCCGCGCGCTCGTCTCGACCAAGATCAACTCGCGCGACGCGGTGACCATCTCGCTCGAGCTCAAGAAGGTCGCCATCCTCTCGCGCTACGGTCTCACGGCCGTTCTCGTAGACGCTCGTGGACCTGGGCCTCGCCGACATCAAGCAAGAGCAGTTTGAAAACTTCTTGTACAAGACGATGCTCGTGTATGGCTACGGCGAGTCGCACGTCGAGTGCTACCGCATGATGAGCACGTACGTGGTTTCAACACTTCGTTCGTTCCGTCGTGTATTCAGGCGCGTAGGTTCCATCGAACGCGCACGCCGCTGCTCATCATCTTGGCCGGCACATCGTGCATGGGCAAGTCGACGCTCGCGACCAAGGTACGTACTACGAGGATGGTCTCGACGTCTTTGCCACTCGTTGTGCAACATAGCTCGCGGACCGCATGAACCTCTCGAGCGTGCTCCAAACCGACCTCATTTTCGAGCTCATGTGCAACTTTTCCGGGTATGTTGTCGTCGTCCATGGCCGCGCCTCGTCGTCGTTGCTCATGGCGCGTAGGCGCTCGGAAACCTCGTTCTCAGACACGGTCTTTGCGTCCGAAGCCGAGTTGCTGCAGCAGTATGCGGCCGACTGCGACATTGTGCGCAAGGGCGTCACGAGCGACATTGACAAGTGCCTCAAGGAAGGCAAGTCGCTCATCATCGAGGGGCTGCACGTGGACCCGCGTCTGTACGAGAAGGAGGTGTCCAACCTCGCGTCTGGCGGCATCGTTGTGCCGTTCCTCCTCACGCTCGACGCCGACGACCACAAGGCGTTCATCGAAGCGTCGCCCGACCCGCGCTACAAGCTCGAGAAAGCTCCCAACTGCTTCAAGAACCTTCAAGTCGTGCAAAAGGCGCTTCTGGACAAGAAAGGGTCGTTTACGCAGGTGCACGTCAACACGCACTCGTTCAAGAGCACGCTCGACGAGCTCCACGACATGGTCCTCCAGCGGATCCAAGAGGCGTATCGCCATCGATCCAATTTGTCATAAGCCACTCTGTACAGCCCATGGAACAGAAAAGAGTTGATATTAGGTGCCTTAGAACATATCAAATGGGTTCGTCGACGCGTGCACGGCCGGTGGCGCCCTACTCCATTCACATTCCATGAATTGATCGACATATAAGATAGTACGACGTACGGGGGCTGCTGCGGAAAGCCGTACGGCATGTGCTGCGACGGGAACGTTTGGTTGGACGAGCCATAGTGCATGGACGGGTTCGAGCCAAAGTGAGGTGTTGATGCCGGCGTCGACTTGATGCCAATGTCAAGCGACGCAAACGGGTCCACGATCGCGCTCACGTCGGCCTTCTGCTGGCTTCCGTACGCATGCGGCTTGCCCGGGTGCAGCGGCGGCGACGCGTGGTCGAACGGCGTCAACGTCGGATAGCTCGTCGTGCTTGCCCCCGAGTGATACAACGTCGAGTTGGTTTTCCCCGGCGACGCGGTGGGCTGCTGGTGTTTGTTGGCCGGTGGCGGGTGGCCCCACATGTCGATTGGCGCGGCGGGCGGCTTGACGACCGGCGCTGGCACCGCGTCAAAGAGAGAGTCGAACGCGTTGAAGGGATCGAGTGGCGCGGTCGAGGTTTGCGCAAATGGATCCGAGACAGACGTGCTGTGGCGCGGTGGCGTCGGCGCAAACGGATCGGCGATGACATTTTGGCGCGGTGGAGTGAAGGGCGCGCTCACGGACGTGCGCGCCGGCGACGAAAAGATGTCCCGCGCCGGCTGCGGCGATGTAAAGCCAGCAAACGGGTCTTGGATCGGCGCGGAGAACGCCGCGAACGGGTCGGCTGTCTGCGGCGCGTCGTCAAACGCACCAAACGGGTTCTGGGCAATAAACGGATTGGGCGTTGGAGGCGAAAACGCCGGGAAAGACGCCGGGCTCGCAACGGCGGGCGGTGGCGTCGCTTGGACGGACTGCGTGTCTAATGTCCATGGATGTATGAGATAACCTGCAGCAATATGCCGCGTCACACACGGTCGCCCAACAGATTGGTGTTGAAGAACGGTGACGCGCCGGTCGTACCTCCTCGGACAGGAGACGCAAAAAAGTCGACTTGGACCGGCGCCGGCTTGCTCAAGGATGAAAAATCGGCGTCAAACCCACTCGACGTCGATGCAAACGGCGAAAAGTCGGCGTTTGACGCAGCGACCGAGCCAAACTGGCTGAAATCGGCAAACTCCGCCGTCGGCGCCGGCGACGCGGGCGTCGTGTGGCCGCTCGTCGTGCTGCCAAAGCTCGAGAAATCACCAAAGGCGACGCTCGTTTGCTGGTTCGCCGTGGGCGGTGGCAAGTGAAAAGGGTTAAAGTCCGTCGTCACCACGGGCGTCGGCGCAGGCGTCTTGGTGGCAACGGGCTTGGGCGCCTCCTTCTTGGGCTCTTCGTGCACCCAGCTAGTACCATTGCGTCAGCTACGTTCCGTGCAAGCTGCGTACCGTCGGTCGATGTACGTGTCGCGAATAAAGTTGCGAATGCGGTCGCGCGCGTTGAGATTCGAGCTCGGCTGGGTGTTGATGTCAAAGCGTGCGAGCCAGTACTTGCGCGCCGCCTGGATAGCGTGTGTGAGGCAATCGTATCAAGCGCATGGGCGTACGTCGTTGCCGCCGTGCTTGACAATGTTGAAAACCTCCGTGTCGGTGAACGACGACATGGAAATGGACTTGATCCGGTGCGAAAATTCGCGGCTATATAGGTGCTAAGCAATGACTTTGATGGGCTCACGTACTGGAGGCCGCTGCACGCGGTGCAGACGAACGTGTTGAAGTCGAGGCAGACGTATTGTGGGCCCTACGCATCCTGTGAGCCCATGGCGCATTGGCCGCACGCGCACCATCTCGTTGCAGTCAAAGCATCGGCGGTTGCTTTGGGACGACTTTTGGAAGTCGCGGATGGCCTTGATGTGCTTCTCGTCGAGGGTCTTGGCGTCGGCTGGCATCGCTTCCTTCCGTCGGCCGCTCCTCGGTTGCCACTTGGCAATTTAAAAACTTGAGAGCGTCCAAATTAGCAGCAAACGCCCAACCCGATTTCTTCGACGGTATTTTTATCCTCGACGCATACAAAGTTTCATAGAGTCGGCACGTGGGCAAAAGAAATGGCGACCTCGCGCCGTATTTTTATCCCGCGCATGCGTTCTCGGAGGTTCTCGGCAGAGAAACCCGTGCATAGTCAAAGCAAGAGCTTTCTTGGAGCCCACCATCTTGGATCGAGGACGAGCGCCTTCAGATCAACCGTTTTAACCCACGCAATTGAGTTCTGCATATATCCCACGTGGCGCCATGTACTGTTCTTGCAGCTGGTACCGTCGACACCACGCCGCCGCCCATCGCCCTCCGTGGTAGCTCAACCCAAAGCTGTTGTGGCACCGCAGCATCACGGTATCGAGTACCTCGACATGCAGGTGCGGTCGAGCCAAGCGCTGAAATGACATCCGATCTTCGCCGACTGCCGAGGCTTGTGCACAGGAGCTGCTACAGCCACCGATAGAGCCACGTCGGACGGGAATGGCGAGACGATTTCGTTTGGCGCCAGCATCGATCCTAGTATCAAACAGCAACGGATTGGAAGACATCCGGACGCATCTGAGTGGCGACTTTACGTGGCTCGTGACTGACGCAGTCAGCCTCACATCGACTACTAGTAGGATCGAAGCGAGCTATCGAAGCGATAACAACGCCTTGAAAAGGTCCGACGAGACCGCCCCGCAACCAGCTCATTGCTGCTGGAGGCCCGCGAGAAGAGGTCTCCTCTTGGGATGTGATATCATGGCGCGGTACCTTGCACGCTTGTGGCGCAATTGGGGCGTGCCCATCTTGTGGGCAGAAAGCACTGACCGGGTGTCGCGATCTTTCGACGCCAAAAGATTTCGCCCAATCATATCCGAGCGTCATGAATGGACCAATGGTAAGGCGGGAATTGGCGTGCACCAATCGGCGATCGATCCGTTTAAGTGCGCGGTCGCATTTTACCCATCGTCCATATCTCGGAAATCCATCGCGGCCACCAACCGAGGACCTCATCATGCGCTGCTGCCAAATCGTCATGGGCCCCGCGGGCACGGGCAAGGTACCTCGCTGCACATGCGCTGCCATGAACTCATAATAGCTTCTAGTCGACCTACTGCAAGAACATGCACGAGCACTGCGCCACGACCGGGCGCATGACGTACGTCGTGAACCTCGACCCGGCGGCCGAGACCTTCGACTACCCCGTGGCCTTTGGTAACGCGCGAGCGCACCATCGGCACAGCACTCACATGATGCGCTGTAGACATTCGCGACCTGATTTCGCTCGAGGATGTCATGGAAGAGCTTGGCTACGGCCCCAACGGCGGCCTCGTCTACTGCATGGAGTGCGTCTTGCAAGCGAGCCCGACACAAAAGACTCATGCGAATCGTGTGTAGGTACTTGATCCAGAACCTCGACTGGCTCCAGGACCTTCTCGTCGAGTACAGCGACGACGACTACTTCATCTTCGACTGCCCTGGTACACGATCCCATGGGATCACGTCGTCCTAGCTGCTTTTCCATAGGCCAAATTGAGCTCTACTCGCATCTCCCGGTGATGAAGTCGCTCTGCGCGGCCTTGGGCGACTGGGGCTTCTCGATCTGCGGCGTCTACCTTGTACGTGCCACGAACGCATGGTCGACCGCCAACTCATGCATTTGTTCTGTCCAGATCGACTCGCTTTTCATTTCGGACCCGAGCAAGTTTATCTCGGGCGTGCTCTGCTCGCTCTCGGCCATGGTGCAGCTCGAGTTGCCCCATGTCAACGTACGTGCCATCGACCGCCGAAATTCCTCGCCTCACACCCCTCAGGTCTTGACCAAGTGCGACTTGGCCGACGAGCTCGAAATCGAAAAGTACCTGGACCCGTCCTCGGGCTACCTTCTCGAGAGCTTGACGCAAGCGACGAACGACAAGTGGCAGCCATTGAGCCGCGCCGTGTGCAACGTGGTGCGTTCTCGCCTCCACCTTGGCGTGCCTTGACCTGTGAGCTTGTAGATCAACGACTACAGCATGGTGGCCTTCGTACCCATGAACATTACGGACGAAGGCAGCATGGACGTCGTCTTGCAGCACATTGACCACGCGATCAACTATGGCGAAGACCTGGAGCCCAAGGTCCGTCGCTGCTGCAGCTTCACCGCTCATCATCATGCTTGTAGGAGCCCAAGGACGATTTCGGCGACGACGAATAAATTGCCAAGGGTTGCGTCCTTGAAAATATATTATATTGCAGAGGTCTTTCCCATTTGATTTCCGGCGGGATGAACGAGAGCGCTGCGTGGGAGGCCGAGCGCGCCGAGCTGCAGCAGCAGGTCCGCGTCCACAAGACCGAGGCCAGCGTCCTCGCCAAGCGCTTCCGCCTCCTCCAGCAGACGCTCCAGGAGCAGCAGGTCGTGCTCGAGAAGTACCAGCGGGCGCTGCGCCGCCTCCAGAAGGCCAAGAAGACGCCGCCGACGGAAACGACCACCCTGGAGCCGGCCAAGACAACGACGGCAGCCAACCCGACCGAGATGGCGTTCCCCAAGCGAACCGAGACGAGCGCGCCACGACCAGCCGAGACAAAGGTCCCCAAGACCCTCCGCGCCCAGACGTTTGCAGCGATCCGGCAAGCCGCGTCTCCTGGCCGCGACGTCCCTTTCAAGCGGAAGCGCACCCGCGACGAGGACGACTTGACAGCACCAGTACACCGTGCGAAGCCTTCAGCCCATTCCTCCACATCCTCGCGCCATCGTCCAAGCACAGCTGCTCCGTCGTCCGCGCGGCCGTCACCACCTGCGCTACCGAGTACCGTGGCTGCACGTCCTGCGTACGAGAACGTGCAACGTCCGGAGAATCGACCGACGACGACCGGCACCAAGCCATATGGGTATATCGAAGTCGTCCGGAAGCGCGACGAGCGGGCGGCGCTGCCCGGCCACGCATGCTCGCAGTGCGCCGAGTACTTTGCCGCGCTCGGCGAAGGCTTTGAGGGCCAGCGCGACCTCTGCTCCAGGCACCGCGCGCGCTTTGAGCCCTACTCGACGCCCGAGGACTTTTGGCGCCTTACGTTTCCAGACTCGATGTAATCGCACACATGTATTACTATACTCAATAGGCGAGCAGGTGGCAGTAGCTGCCGCAGACGGTACAGTGCAGCGGGTCGGCGCCCGAATGCGCAGAGTAGAACGTCGGTGCCGTCTCGACGTTGGCAAAGCTGCCGCACAAGGTGCACTTCCACACGGACGCGGTCGAAACGAGCCGAAAGCTCAGAAAACTACGCTCGGCGGCGTGACCCTTGGCGCAGACCGGTTCCAAAATCGACGCTGTCAGTGGCACGGGCCCCGCGCACAACTCGCACGCTTCGCGAACAGGCAGCTCGCCCGCCCCCGTGTCCAGGCGCGCAATGTCGGCCACCGTGCCGTACGCCGTGTAGAGTTGGCGCAGGGCCGTGCGCGTGTTGGGCTTGAGCGCAAACGAGACGGGCGCGGCGTCGGGGTTGCGCGTCGAGAGGTGCCAGAGGTAGTCGGCCATGAGGAGAGCGGCGACGTGCGTATCTGGGTCGAGCGACGCAGCTGTCGACGCCGTCAGCACATGTCGCTCGGCCGCGTGCGCTAGAATCACCGGCACGACCCACGCCGGGCACTCTTTCTGCGACGCCGGAACCGTGCTCCAGATCTGGTACGCGGCTTGCAGAAGGGTCGGGGCCGCCCAAGCGTCGCTGTGGTCCAGCCGGGTGTACTGGGACGCGAGCGCGTCTGCAACCGGTCGATACATGGGCCGGACGCCGGTCGTGTCGGCGTGAAGCGACCGCAGCTCCGCCTCCTTGGCCGTGCACGCCACCAAGTCGTGGTAGCAGAGCGCGAGTACGTCAAAGAGCGAATCGAGGCGCGCCGGCGTCGCAGCGAGCGCGGTTCGCAGCGTCTCGGCCAGCGTCGGCGCGTCCTTGGCGAGCGGCGTGGCAAAGTGCTCGAGGCCGCCACTCACGCGACTGTACGTCGTGTCCTACTACACATGAGACCACGCTTTGGGGCCGGACCGCTACCGCTTGGGTCGTCCGGCACGGGCGCGCGGCCGGCGGCACAATGTACGTGCACGAGATTTGGGCGTCATTTGGCGAGATGCTGAGACCGTACACGGGGTACCCTTTGGTCGGCAGGTTCCTACGCACAGAGGTGTAGTACGATGCAGGAGAGAACATTGCGACGTACGGAGCCACGGCCGGCGAGCCATCGGGATGCCATGCCTTGACCGCACCGTCAATCGCGCACGAGAAGAGCGTGTTGTCGCGGGCTTGCACGGCGAGGACCGAGATGGTTCCGTCGTGGGCAGGCCACACGACCGGCACTTGGTCGTTCTCGCCAGCAATGGACCACGCCGAGAGCGTGCCGCCGAACGCTGCAAACACATGGTTGGCGCCCACAGCGATACTCACAATTGGTGCGGGCCGCGGGACAGTCCAGACGCGGCGGAGCGATCCATCGGCCACAACAATGGACAAGATGTGACTGCTGGCGGTCGCCACATACAATGTCTCGCCATCGGACGACCACGATGCGCTCGTGGGCCACCCATGAACGCCCGTGTCGACCTCGACCCGGGGCGTCTTCTCGAGGTAGCCGGACCGGAGCAGATCAAAGTGCCAGATCGTTGTGAGCCGGCGACCGCAGATCGCAAGCAGCGACGTCGACGACCATGCGAAACACGTCGTTGCCATAAAGTCGCACTGCTCGGCGTACGAAAGTTCGGCCTTGCGCCGCTTGGGGGCGCGTGGCAGCGGCACGAGGATGGAAGGATCGTCGGGCAGCGGGCCGTAGCGGGGCATGACCTTGGCCATGTGCGCGGCCACGATGTCCGAGAGCACGGCGCAGCATTCCCAGTTCAGGTTCAGTGACGATGGAAAGTGCAGCAAGATGCGATTCGCCGTCGTCAAGGCCAGAAGGGCACACGCTGCATTGGGCGCCGAGCCTACGCACGTCAGGTGAGAGATGCCTGCTGGATTCGATCTATCCTGTACCGCGCGGGCCCCACGACGCTTGAAGGAAGACGTCGACGTCGGGCTTGGCCATCGAGAGCTCGCGCGGGTTGGCGCTCGTGACAGCTTCGAACGAGTTCATGATGCGGTACATGATCGTGCCCGGCGCCTCGACGGCAGTCGGCGTCGCCTCTGAAAACGCGGGTGGCGGCAGTGGATACCGCGTGTTCGCTGGCCGCTTGGAGAGCGCAATGTTGGTGCGCGAGACAAACGGCGGCTGCAGCAGGTAGCGGCAGAGGTCCTTGTTGACAAAGGTCGAGATCATGATGCCGTCGTGGACGACGACGGCGAGCTTGCCGTCCATGGACCAGTACACATTGTTGGGCTGCAGAGGCGCGCCAGAGAGATGCTCGGCGGCAACGCAGTCCGGCGTCGGCGTGAAGACGCCAGACATGCTGTTGTTGCCGGCGCCCTCAAACGCGTCCGAGGTCTCGGTGGCCATCGTATCGGTGAAAGCTCCAACCCAGAACGCGCCGGTGCCATTGGCTGTAAATGCTGCCTCTTTGACATCTCGGATTGGCTTATACCTTTTAATTGTAGCCAATGAAGTGAAACGATTATGCCATGCCCGATACAACCCGCTGCCAGCACGGCAACAGCGCGGCAATGGGAGTCCGACGCGCTAGCCCACTACACGCTGGATCCATGCTGTATACAATAAATACACTGGATCGAGAAAGGCCTGTCGCTTGCTCGTGCAGACCGCGCAGGACGGCGAAAAGCGTTGCAGGACATGCACAAAGCGTGCATTCAAGGTCATACACATCGGCAGCACCTGCTGGCTCGTCCAGCTGATACCCACCAGGATACCCTCTCGCGGCGACGCCTCCTGACCGAGGCCATCGCAAGCCCCCGCGCGCCGTAGTAACGTTGTTGGCGCCAACGCCCAATTGTACCGAATATGCGCGCCGTTTGATTGGTTGCTCGTATTTGGCTGGTCCAATCCAAGAGGCCATTCGACACCTTGGTTGGCTGGGAGAATCATGGCGCCGGTACCGAACCCGCGCAAGCCGACGACCAAGATCCCGGCGGCGACGAAGCTCGAGATCCTCGAGCGTCACAGCAGCGGCGAGCGCGTGCGCGACCTCGCTCTCGAGTACGGCGTGCACCACACGTCGATCGTCTCGTGGGCAGCGCGCATCGACAAGATCCGAGCCATCGCTGCCCGCGGGCCGCCTGCCAAGACGGCCTTTGTGCCCATCACGATCGCCACCAAGGTCGACGCCATTGCGCGCATACAGCGGGGCGAGCGCATCCTCGCCGTGGCACACTCGATCAGCGCGACCTCGAGCGCAGTCAAGTCGTGGGTCCGCGACGCGCCCCGGATCCGAGCTGTCGCCACGGCCGCCGGCCTCGACGTAGCGCTCTCGCAGCCAAGCAATGCGTTTGCGACAACTCGGCCAATGAAGCGCGCCCGCTACGACGAGGTCGAGACAAAGGCGGACCGGTCGCTGGCGTCCTTCTACAACGATGGCCATGCGGCGTCTGCGATGGACGAAACAGACGCAAACATCAAGGACGTGGTCAGCGCCCCGTCTGCGCCCTTGTCGCCTGCGTGGGACTCGTCGCCGCCCTCGGCGCTGCAGCGATCCCAGCGATCGGTTGGCGCCAACGACCTCATGACTGCATACAACGACCACACGTTTGACGAAGCAAGCATCAAAACCGATTCCTTTTTGGACACTCGCGTGCTGGACGCCGACGATGTCGACGACGACGACGACGACGAAAAGGCGACGGTCGGTGCGCACTCGCACGCGCGCCGGCACCACTGGATCGCGTACAAGGCCGCGCAACGCCGGTGCGACTGCCCGCGCTGTGTCTATGCGCGCTTTGATCCGCACCGCGTCGCAGCGCCAGCGACCTACGCGTGCAAATCCCGCGGCTGCGACGAGGCCTTTTCCACGCAAGGCGCGCTCGTGGCCCACCAGCTCACGGTCCATCGCAGCAGCGTGTACCCGATCTCGAAGCGGTCGCACATGGACTGTCTCGAGACGCAGCAAGAGTGCAAGGCGGCGCCGCCACCGACCGTCTACATTTTTTTGCAGTACGACCACCCCACACTTCCGCCGATCCAGAACGTCGATGTCATGGCCGAGCACTGGCGCGTCAAGGCGCGCTGCGGCGGGATCCAAACTCTCCGGCCGCACGAGATCCGCCCGCGAAAGCGCAGCCGCCAAGTCGGCGTCGCCCGCACGGCCAAGATGGAGCACGCGCTCTACAACGTGTTTCTCGAGGCGTGCAGCCGGTGGCAGTGGGGCGGCCACGACGAGCGCCAAGCGCAGTTTGAGGAAGCGTACGCTTTTTACGCGCGGTGCGTCGTCACCAAGCACCACACACCGACCAACGCACCGTCGTTCAACCTCGTGGGCCAAGGGCGCAACTGGCTACGATCTGCCAACGACTTATTTTAACGCAAGACGACCATTGAACTTCGCTATTGTGTGTTCTTGGCTGCGACGTCGCGTCCATCACTCACGACGCGTGAACGAAAACGATGCAACCGTCGTCGTTCCGCAGTAGTTGCGACGGCGTCGATCGTGGGATCGTTGGGATCATGCTGCCGCTGGTCTCCTCCTGCTCCTGGTCGACATCGTGGCGCAGAGTTCCTAGTCGTCGTTGCTATGCTGGACGCTAAGAACGCAGCTTAGAGGTTTGGGATGACCTGCCACAATGAACGGGTACGTGGCAGCACCTGCGGTTTTGGCGCGTAACCGTTCTGTACCCTTTCGCCGACCAATCCGCGCACGCGGGCTCGGACGCATGGCGCGTCACGCCTCGACCTCGATATAAATAGATTCGAAGCCTGCACCCTGCTTCTTTCTGCCGTGGATCTTCCGGATAAAAGCATTTTATGCGGATATCGAACGGAACGCATTCTCGGTGACATGTATTCTCAGAGGGAATCGCGTGGCAGCATGGCTGTGGCCAAGCCGTAAGTATAAAAAGAGAGAGGTTTCCACTCAGATCTGGGAGCTGGAACATCATCATCCGCTTGACCCATTTTCCCAAGATCGCGCGATGGTCGAGTGCGAGCAAGCGCCTGCCGCCCTGCGAAGCAGCGTGGACACGGCAGACGACGGCTACATGAGCCCAAGCGACTCGGCCGCCATGGCCTCGTGGCTCCTGGTCGACGACGACGACGACGCCGACGACGCGGTCTTGCCCCGACGAAAGCACGACGTCTCGGGCTTGCCATGGACATGCAGCAACTGCGGTGTCTCGTTCTACTCGCTCCGGTCCGTCATGGCCGACGACTGCTACTGCTCGGGCGAATGCAAGTGGAGCGTGATCCTCTTCCGCGAAATGGACTCCCGGAGTCTCTGCTATGGCTCCAAGGCCAAGGCGTCCGCCACCTACGACGCGCTGCCCGAGACAGTGCGCTACGTCGCGCCGCTTCCGTTCTAGTCGTCTCGTTGTCTTGCCTCTTGCTCTATCTGTACCATACCACGACCCTGCACTGTGCTTACATAGAGTGTCCTTTGCTCCGCCATGATGTCTACACCGCTCTAGTTCATGAACGAAAAAATGCAGCGACGCAATCGACGGAGAACTTGTGTATGTGTGCTTGAGTCCATTACGCATCCTGCTGCAGCACGGGCAGCGACGCGACGACAAGCTTGAGCAACTCGCGCGTCGGCTTCTTGCGATAGGCTGTTTGCTTGGAGATCGCGCACCAGAGCTCGCCGTGGCGCGGCTCTGCCTGCACGCAGCGCTCGAGCACGCTGCTTCGTTGGCTCTCGTTGCCGTCCTTGAGCTCAAACGCATAGTACGTGGCCCAGCCGTCGCCAAAGTCGGGGTTCAGCTGCACCGTGCGCTCGAGCCACTTGCGCGCCTTGGTGATCTTGCGCTCGTGCCAAAAGAGTTTGGCGACCGAGAGACACACGGACGGGTCGTTGTCCTTCTTCTTGAGCGCCTCGAGGGACACGCGCTTCTTCTGCGTCCGCGGCGCCATGTCGATCGACGCGGCCAGCAAGAGCCCCGAGTCCGGGCAGTCCTACACCGTATTTTGAGTGCATCCAGAAGCACTCTGTATTTCGTGTACCTGAAGCGCCTTGGCGAGGAGGTTTTCCTGGCCCTTGACGTTGGCGTGCCGGCCCTCAAGGCGAATGGCTTCGAGCCAGAGGAGGTCGTTCTTCGGGTTGCGGAGGCGCGCCACCTCGAGCACCGATCGGGCCTTTGTCGCGCCCTGGAGCTTTTCTTCGAGGCGGCTCGAGAGGCGCCAGAGCGGCACCGACTTGGGACACGCGGCGATCCCGTCGCGGTACGCCTGGCGCGCCGCCTCCCACTGCTCGTGGTCTTCGTAAAACTGGCCGGCCATCATGTAGAGCTTATCAAAGCTCTTGTAGTTGGCCATGCCCGACTTGAGAAGGTCCTCTTCGGCCGCGCCGCGCTCTGTTTCGCGCTCGAGGAGCACCGACTTCATCCAGACGCGGGCCGTGGGCGCGACCGACCGCGCCTTCGCCAGAAGGGCCCGTGCGCGCGCAATCTCGTTGTTTTCCCACTCGAGCTTGACGGCTGCGAGCCAGATCTCTTCGCTGTTGGGGTTGGCGCTGAACGCTCTGCGCAGAATCGAGCGCGCGTCCTCGACGCTGCCTTGGAGCCACGCTTCTTTCGCCGCCATGAGCCAGAGCAGCTCGCAGTGCGGGCACGCGGCGATCGACGCGACGAGGAGCTCCATCGCGTGGGCTTTGGACGCTGGCGTGTTGATTTGCTTCTCAAGCGCGACCGCGCGGAGCCAAATCGACTTTTTGGCCGGAAACGTCTCGAGCGCGTGCGCGTAAATGGCCTTGGCCGTCGCAAACGCACTGCGGGCGGTGAACGTCTCGGCGTCGTCCATCCACGTGCGCTTCCGGTCCTCGTCTTCGACGCCCAAGTTCTATCGACCAAACAACATAAGTACTAGCATATGGATCATCAACGTGGACTCACGAGCGTTTGGCGGACGAGCGCAGCGCATGTCAACGGTGCGCCCGCGAGCTCGCATGCTTCCGCTTCCTGGAGCCACGTGTTGCGGTCAATGACCACGTCGTTGCGTGAGAGCGATCGCAGCGCGGCCTGGATGATCTTGTCGACGTTGGCGCCTTTCCCGTTGGCCTCTTCGAGCTTGGCGGCCGCAATCCAGATCGTCGGGTCGGTCGGGATCGTCGTGCGCGCGCGGTTGAGCGTCCGCTTCGCATGGTCGTACGTTTCGAGGCGTGCGAGCGCGAGCCACATGTCGACCGACTCGGGCACGCACTCGACCGCGCGGCCGAGCATGAGCCGCGCGCCGTCCGCGTCTTCGAGCTCGATCACGGCTTTCCAGATCGCGACCGCGCCCGGAATGAACTCGAGCGCGCGCCGGAGCACGAGCTTTGTCGCGTCGTCCGAGCCTTCGAGCTTGGCGGCCGCGAGCCACACCTTGGTGCTGGTCGGGACGTGGCGGACGGCGGTCGCGAGGATCTTCTTGGCGTTCTCAGGCGTCTGTAGGCGCGCGGCTTCGAGCCACACGTCCTCGCTTGTCGGACACGCTTCGCAGCCCGACGCGATGAGGCTGCGCGCTTGGACGAGCTTCCCCGCGACTTCTTCGAGGCGCGCGGCCGCGATCCAGCCCGGCGCGTGCTTGGGGTTGGTGAGCGTCACACTGCGCATGAGGAGACGCGCCTTCTTGATGTCGCCGACCTCGGCGTCGCTCGTGATCTTGAGACTGTTGAGGTCCGTGAGGTACCCTTTCGGGTCGACGACCGTCTGGCCCGAGATCGAGTCGGACATCTTGTCGAGCTTGAGCGAGAGCACGGCGCCGCGCGCTTCGGCGAGGCCCGTGAACGACGACGTCATGCCGCCGACCGTCGACGCGAGGCCGCTCGGCGTGTCCGTGCCAACGACCGTGTTTGTCGTCTGCGCCCGCGCGTCGAGGAGGCTGTCGGGCACCGGCGTGTAGATCTCGGCGCGGCGCTGCTGCTTGTAGCGCAGCGAGTGGTCGCCAATGTCGGGAATTGCCTCCCATTCGGCGTCGCTCACGGTCGAGAGCGTCGTCTTGAGGTCCGCAAACTGGTCCGAGATCTTGGGGCGCTCGCGCCGCGCCTTCTTGATGTCCTCGAGCTGCTTCATCTCGCGCCGGCGCTTCCGCTTCGAGTCCATGCGCTCGTCGATCTTGGCATAAATATCATCGGCCTCTGCGTCGTCCTGGTCGTACGGCGTGTCGTTGAAAAGGCCTGCGCCCGTGTAGCCCGAGAACTCGTCGTAGTTAGTCTCGCTGTAGTCGCCGCGGTCGCCGCTCTCGTCCGTCTCGCGGCCAAAGCCGCCGACGCCAGCTGTGCCAGAGCCACGCCCGCCACCAGGCATGCCAATGGGGATGCCGCCCATCATGAGGCCGCCCGGCGGTGGCGGCGGCGCCGTGCCCCGTCCGCGGCCCATCGCGCCGAGCATGTCCACGGGGTCGTCTGGCCGCGCGGGGCCGATGTCGGACCGCGTCGTGAAGCCGATCGCACCGCGCCCGAGACCGGCGACATAGTTGGCCGGCGCCGCCTGGTCGAACGCCTTCACCCGACGGAACATTGCTGCGCCGTTCAATCAACTGCGCTGGCCGTGATAATCCTAAATACTGTACATGGATTTGACTTGAAATAGTGTGCATATTGGCGCCAACGCCAACGTCGCCGCGGAAGCTCGCCAGGAGCACAGCAATGCAAACATGATGCCATGTACCAATAGAATATACCGGTGTAGGAGGTACCCGTCCATGGTAGACGTCTCGTAGAGGCCGAGCGCTCTGCCGCGTGGACGGCCGAGTCGTCGAGTTCGTGTTGTGGAGGACCGGAACGTGCAACGCGCTCTGTCATCCGCTCGTGGCGGCGACGCGCAGAGCGCCTTGGCGGCGGGCAGTCCTTCCCATGGCGCATAATTGATAGTATGTCAACGGACGGTGTGAGAACTTTCTATCTTGCATCTCGTTTGTCAACGACGTGTTACGTGGCACCACCACAACGTGGCAAGGGCGTACGGTCCAACTCAAAATTTTAGCCGACGCCCAACGAGGAAATGCAGTATCATCCCTTTCCTCTTTGCTACACGATGCGCTTTAGATGGCGCCGCAGGTTGGGCTTTAGCTGGCATGCCGGCGCGCGAGGACAACAGCTCGCACGTGCATGGCTTCCTACACCGGCGTTGACCAACTTGCAGCCATCGCCACTGCCAGCCATGAGTTGCGATACGGCGCCCTCGGCAATTCCAATGCCATCGCCATTATTGCCTGTGCCACAAGAGCGTTTACGGTGGCGGCCAAGCACCCCGAGCGCCTTGCTGCGATGCCAAACCCCACAACACTAAACCTATTATAAGCAAGTTACATCGCGGCTTGTGTTGGAGGCCGTTGTGTACTTGCTTTCATCGGGAACTGCAATCACCACGACCAGAGTGGACCAAGGCCAGCCTCTTTGCGTCTGCGGGGGAAAAGTGCCGGATATGGGCGCTGGTCGCGTTGACGTTGGGCAAGCTGGCGGTTGGGCAAGATGACGCTTGGGCCGGATACTCGTTCTCTACAACTTGATTAACCTTCCGAGAAAGCCTGTATCTTTATGCGGATGGATCCAGTCACTTCGTGTTTGCGATGGACACGATCGGACGGCTGCCGACGGCTCCCGCAAGCGCGCCGCCGTCGGGGAAGAGGAAGAGATCGAAGAAGAAGAAGAAGAACAGACCACCGCGGCTATCAAACACGCGCCGACAGAAGGCAAGGTTGAAGCTCAAGGAGGCTCTCGACCAAGGTACCACGAACCATTTCTGTCTAATGGGTTGCCTAAGTTGCTCTTTGTTTTCGACAGCCGCCTTGGCGGGTTCGGGATTGCCTATGAGCGCAACCGGTCGAGTTCAGGCCGCGACAGCCAGTGCCGCGCCAAGACCCATCAAGGCAGAGGCGGTTGAGATGCCTCAAGCACCGCGACGCGAACAGACTCGATCGATGACGATGCGTGGCGTGGCCAACGCTGCCGTCGAGCGCGCTGGCGATCGACAACAGGCGGCAGCCCCCGCCAGCACGTCGGCCCGAGCGACAAAGGAAGAGACGCGGCCCACGAGAGAATCCCAAGCCAAAGCGGAGCCCCTGGCGGCTCGCGACCACGGTACCGAGTTGCAATCCTGGTCAAAGATGTTCACATAGCTTGTCTTTACTAGGCAATGCCGAGCCAGGTCGGGCCGAGGCCGCGACGGCTAGCGCCGTGCCAAGACACATCAAGGCAGAGGCGGTTGGAATGCCTCAAGCACCGGCAATGCAACGAGTGCCCACTCAAGCGACGACGATCCGTGGCGCGGCCAACGCTGCCGTCGAGCGCGCTGGCAAACGACAGCAGTCGACGGCTCCCGCCAGCAAGCCGACGATGGGAAAGAACATGATGCGGCTCATGGCGAAACGCACTATCAGCGAGGAAATTGAAGCCCGGAAGAAGCAGAGGATGTCGTTGGCCACAGACGCAGGTACGCACGCTAGCATCGAACCAACACAACGATCAGGACTGACAGGCGCCTCGACACGCCGAGCACCGCCCATTTGCAAGCCCGAGCCAGCCATTGCCGCCAGCGAGCCAGCCAATGCCGCCAGCGAGCCAGCCAATGCCGCCAGCGAGCCAGCCAATACCGCCAGCGTGCCCGATGAGAAACGTCATGACACTCGTCTTGGCGGTCAACTGCCGGTCCGGGCCCGCTCCAAAGGTTGTAATTCGTCCATGACGTGCGTTGAGGACCTGCACATGGCGATGGCCAAGCGCTTCAACATGGACCTAACGTGCACGCGGGCGGACGTCGACGCGTTCATTGTCAACAAGCTTGGCCTCGAACTCGGCAAGGGCATTACGGGGCCCGAAGAAAGACGGCTCAAGGATTTCCTTTATCACCACGGGTATCGTTGGAGTCGCAAGACCCTCGCGAAGAGAACGGAGATCAAGCAGACGCCTGGCGGAGACAAGGCCGACGACGTGCGTCGGTTCTGCGCCTCCGAGGGCCTCGGCATGTACCACGTCACGACGGCTGAGAACCCGGGCTTCATCCAGCACGTCATGGCCGTTCACATGCAGCGCGACAAGAGCGAGTACTGTGAAGACGGCGAGTGGCATCCGCTTGACGAGCTCAGCTTCAACTCGCGAACATACGTACGCTACGTCCGCCGTTTTGTGCCCAAATCGGATAAAGAACTTGCGGCAGAAGGCCAAGTCAACCAGAACCAGAACGACGACGCCCAGCACGTCGAACTCATCGACCTCACAACATCGGACAGCGACGAAGACGAGGAAAGCGGCGATGATGACGACGACGAGGAGTACGTTGACGGTGACGAGTAGTCTAACAACAATATATTCTTTTCTTGTGCTGCATTTTGTGCAAAATTTATACATGGAATAAAAGAGCTGCGTAGCCAATCGAACGCTCTTGTGCTGGGCGCAATCAAGTGGCGGCAACGATGGGCGGGCAGCATCCTGACCGTCGAGGGCTTGATATGAATGCGCGTGCAGTAGTACGTCGATACTACATGGCTGCAAAAAGCCTGCTGCGTTGCGACGCGGTCGTTGTGGAGCTGTGGAGGGTCCGCAATGCAATACTGCGCTGTACTAGAAATGTACTAGTATGTCGCACCGGTGCTCGAGGTACAGCGGAAGCTATGCGTCATTCAACTTATTTGCGGCAAAAGCCGAGTTTTACGACCCGCAGCTCTGCGACCTGGATGCTTGACAGCAAGGACGATACGTCTTGGATCACGCATGCGCGCGAAGATGGGTTCATTTGTGAAGAGGTGGGTCCCGCGGGCCATGGACGCATCGGCGTCGCTCACCTTGAAGCCATCTGTGAGCACAATGGTGGCAAGCAGCTCCTGGATAGCCGCCATCGCCACGTCGAAGCCCGGCTGCGCCCGGACGTGGCCAAGGAGTGGGTCATCTTCGAAGCCCGGCTGCGCCCGGAAGATGACCCACTCCTTGGCGGTGACGGGGCAGTCGCGCAGCCATGCCTTGGCGGCCTCGAGGTCTTCCGGCAACGGCGCAGATCCGGCGAGCGGCGTGAGCTTTGTAAAGTCCGGGTGCGTGGCGTAGACGGCCGGTGATGCATCTGTCAAGATCTCGTTGGTCTGCTGGGCCAAGGCGCTGAGCGAGAGCGCGTCGGAAAGGCGCTGCGAAGGCCATCGACGGCGCCTGCAGCATCTTGCCCGCGTCGACGCGCCCGCTGCTGCCGTCGTCCTCGTCGTCGCGCTCGGCGAGGCCAAACTCGGACGCTTCCTCGTTCATCATCTTGCTGTCTGCCATGCTGCTGCGCAAGATGGACGTGCCAGAAATAGGCTGGATCTTCCCTCAAAAATAATAAAAGGTGCACGTTTTTTAAAATATGTTCTTCAACTCCACAAAGGTATTTTAAATACCTCTCTCGGTTAAAAGAACGCGATCTTGGCGATCTTGATGATGGAGGCGAACCACCAAGACCAACAATTTGCAGCATCATTACACCGCTACGTCTCGACGTGTAAACACCGCCGCTTGCTGGTCCGAGGCTCGATCCCACGACCTTATTCTTTCAAGCTCCGCTCACCCGAATCCGCACCATTTCAAAATGCTCATGGAGCAGACAACGCGAGCGCACCGTCGCCGTTGGAGCTGGCAATAATACTACATGGCAGTGCTCCGTGGGTGAAGACAGGACAGTTGGCGCGTACGTCAAGTTTGTGGTTGCAACAATCTAGCTAAGAGCTCAAAACTGCTTCGGTCGCTCGGCGAATCTCGCGTCTATTCACCGTGCGAAACACCACGTATCCTATTGCTTGCAGTGGTGCAGACACCAGTGGTGCAGTGGTGCGCGCAACTACAGTTGTAGCTCGATCGTCCCATCGTGCTGCACGTGCATTAGGTAATCGAAGGCCGTTGTTGCTGGCGTTGCTGGACAACCGCTCACGCGCCTCGGGAATAGCAAAGGCTTTGCGTCGTGAACGCAACCTCAGCTACCGACCCTACCCTTGAGACCACTGCGATGCACGTTGCTGTTGCATGCTTGGAAGACAGGGCAGTAGTAGCAACTCGTCTCGCGATCTCTGATTGGTCAAAAGTCATGGCATTTCTACTTGCACCAATTCCGAAAAGGCCAGCATGGGGATCGAGAGCGTGGCCTGGTCGCTGCCGCTGCGCGTCGCGATGGCCGTCGCCTTGGCCGCGATGCTGATCGTCAATGGCATCCACAGCGTCAGCGGTGACATGCGCATCGTGGCACTGGCCAATCCAAACCTCCTCACGCCGTCGGCCATGTTTTTCATGCTGCTCGGACCCATCTACGCGAGCCTTGTCGGCTTTGTCGGGCGCGAGTGCTACGCGCCCAACACGACGATCCCGGCCATGCACCGCGTGTACGTCTGCTTCATTCTCAGCTGCGTCTGCAACATCATGTACCTCTCGTGCTTTGTGGGCGGGTACACGCACGTGGCGTTCGCCGCGATCTTTCTCATGTGGCTCGCGCTCTTTGCCGCCTACTTGGTCGTCGAAGACAGCGTCGCGCCGATCGTGGTCACGTCGATGCTGCGCAGTAGCAACGCCAACCACGCCTTTGCAACCACGTCGGTCGCCGACGTCCTCTGGATCCGAACGCCGTTGACGCTCTACTGGGCGTGGACGTGCGCGGCCGCGACAGTCGCGCTCAACGTCTCGCTCGAAGCGCTCGGCGTGCACGCGATGAGCATCTACGTCTTCTGGTGCGGCATGTGGGTGCTGGCCAACACGCTCATTCTCCTTGGCACGGGCGACGTGCCGTTTGCGTTCGTGGCGTTCTACACGCTCGTGGCGATCGCGCGCAAGTCGGCCGCGCTCAGTGACCGCCTCGTGCCGCAAAACCCAAACTACCCCGAGCACTACGCGGTGCAGGTCATGGCGACCGTCGGCGCCTTCGTCTTTGGCAGCCTCTTTGCGTTTCTCGTGCTCCACAAATATTGGCGCGGCGACGCGCTCCCGCGGTATGCAGAGTATCCTGAGCCATGCGACAATCTCATGAGTTGCTGTAGGCTCTTGGCGGCGCCCTCGCGAGGCGCGTACGGCTCGCTCCCATAAGCAAACGCTCTGTCCGAAGAGCGCCATGCAGCGATGGATGCTCGACGAGCGTCTCGCAGCTCGTCGGAATTTCCTGCCGTCAAGGAATAGAGTCGTTTGCATCAATAAATAAAAGACGCATCCGCAACGACGACGGGATGCACAGGGTATAGGTCTCGGCACCTTGGTAAGCACGTGGCGATGGGGCGACGGTGGCGGCTGGTTGCTTTACTTGGTGCCACGGCGACGGCTTGCGAGCTGGGGTCACCGCGGTTCGTGTAGTCGGTTGCGTCTGCGCTCTTGTGGGCCTAGCGGACGGGCTGCATTGACCACACCAACACTCGAAGGAAATAAGGAATGAGATAATATATATAGTATGAATATGCACAATATCTCCTGCACCTACGACGACAACGACGACACTGGACCAACAAGGCGACACGGAACTACACGGCCGTGGTGGCGCGAAAGGCAATGTCGATGGCCATGCCGTACGGCGCCTCGGGCTTGGGCGCGAGGCTGTCGTTGACGGTCCCAAACACGTGGCTCGTCGGCGCGTGGACGTTCATGAGCTCGAGCTTCTCGTCGTCGTGCTCTTCTTGCAGGAGTCGGTCGGCTTCGTCCTCGTCGTCTTCGACCGCGACCGTTCGCGAGTGACGTGATGCTTCGCTCGTCGCATCTTCCTTCGCGGGGGCCGTCGGTCCTCGGTACAAGTTGGCAAGCATGCCAACGACTGCAATGACGAGCCCGACGTACTGGAGCGGCGCGAGAACGTGGCCAAACACCCAGATGCTCACAGCCATCGTGAGGATCTTCCGGGCCGTCCCGACCATACTCGTCATGAGCGCGCCAAAATGGGAGATCATGAGGAAGATAAACATTTGGCCAATCCCACCCGTGACGCCGAGCACGAGCAGGTCCGGGAGCAGCTTTGTGTGACGCGGGAGGTCGCGCCATGTCTCGGTCGTGGCCGAGACGCTGAAGAAGACAGCCGCGAGGAGCACGGAGAAGCAGTTGATCTTGTGCATCATCGTAAACGGACCCATCTGGTACTGCGTCATAAACTTTTCTTCGAGGGCGCCGGTCGCGCCGTCAAAGCCAAGCGAGATGAGCACGAGGAGCGCACCGAGCGCCGCGTCGGTCGCCGGCGATTCCGCATGGCGGCGCTGCATAAAGGCAAAGAAGACGACGGCGCCCAGCGTCACAAGCATGACGCTCGCGTACTTGCGCCGCGGGTACGACTTGCCGAGGAGGAGGCCGATGGCCATGATCGGGATCGGCTTGCACGTCTTCCCGAGCACGCGAAAGATGTACGACACGTACCGGAGCGCGAGCACCGAGAGGTACGAGGAGCAAAACGTCGTGAACGAGAGGAGGAGGAACACGTGCCATGGCGCCGTGTCGATGCGCTCGCGGCCGAGGACGCGGCCGGCGTACGAGATGCAGGCGTAGATGATGCACGAGACAAACATGAGCACAAACTCGTTCGGGCCCTTGCCGTCAATCGTAAGGCGCTCGAGCAGGTACGCGTAAAGGCCAAAGCAGACGACGAGCCCAAGCGAGTAGAACGCAAAGAGGACGCCTGAGGCCGGCGCCGGCGCCGCCGGAAGGCGGAAGCACTGGAAAAAGCACTCGTACTTGTAGATCGTGAAGCGGTGCGAGCGCAGCTCGACAGCTTCGTCGCTCGCCTTCGCCAGCGTTGGGTTGGGCGCGACCATGCTGGCAGAGAGCGATTGCAGATTGATGACGGCCAAGTGCAATGTCCCAAACCAACGTGATGGGATAAACAGGTTTGTCCCGCTTTTTTCTGGTGGTGGCTGCAAACCCCACACGCGTGAAAATCCAAGACGTGGTTTTTCACGTGTTTTACACCGCCAAGCGTCCAAAGTTTGGACGCGAGGTCGCACGATCTTGGTGATGCATGGCAGGCGTCTGCGGTACAATTATTGTAGCATGAATGGCTTGTGGACTGGCCGATAGCCACAGGTGTTGGCGCCTCAAGACAACGGTGCTTCAGGAGCTCGATGCACATTGTTGTGGCACTCGGGATGGCTTCAAGGTCCCATGGCGCCACGGCGAATGTCATTCCTATCGGCAAGCTAGACAGACTCGTGCATTCTAGTACCGGTAGCTCCCAGCCTTGTCCAGACATACGCAACAACTCAACAGTCAGTACACAGTGCAGCATTATCGAGCCTTATCCAATGGTGATACAACCGTGGCCCACGCAATGCGAAGACGGCGGCGGGCGTCGCTGCCACACTCTGCCGCAACCAAGCGACTTAGCCGAGAAGGGGCGGGTACTTGGAGCGGTCATCCTTGACAACGATGCCGTAGAAGATGCTAAAGGCGCCGACGACCCAGAGCGTCAGCGTCGTGTAAAAGCCAAAGCCGTTGCCAAGGCCGAGCGTGAAGAAGGCGAGGAAGATGACGTAGAGGCCACTGCCAATGTAGCCTTCGAGGAGCCCAAACCACGCGAGCGGCTTCTTGAGGCCAAGCCCCGCGACGGAGACGAGGACGAGCGAGAGGCCGAGGTAGTAGACACGCAGGGCCACGCGCGTCGTGAGGCTCTCGAAGGAGCCGCCGTAGCCGTCGCCGATGAAGCTCCAGATGGCCGCGATGGTCGCGAGGAGGCCGCACACAGCCAGCGCTACTTGGTGCACCTTGCGGAAGCTAATCGCCATGGTCAACAACTTCGTTTTTGGAAATGACTGCGATCTTGACACGACCCACAACGGTGCTGCACCCGATTGGCCAAAATGGGATTCTAATTCAGCCAATCCACAGCGTCAGTGCATCTCTTTTCGGGCAAGATTGAAGTTGAAGCTGCGACCAAGAGCGGCCAGCGAGCGCTTTCCCAAAACTTCAAAACGTGATGGAATGCTCGTTGTGGACGTGGGCCCTGTCATCGAGAATGCATTTGTATGCCACGCACTGTAGAGAAAACCATCACGCCGTTTGCACTTTTCTTCAATCGCGCACCAGGACCACGTGGCAGCACGTGCTCGTGATGCTGGACGGCTACGCTGCCAGTGCAGCTGGAGAAGGAGCTTGAGACGCGCTTGCCCAAGCACCACAGCATTTTGTTTCTCGCCACCAGACATGACGCGACTCCAATGGGTCGCACACGATCGAGACACTCGAGCTAACACCAATGGCTAATGGCGCGCCGCCAGTGCCAACGACCGACGACGACCTCGAGGACCTCTTGCGCGTGCCACTCACAGACTATGTGACGAAGCCACCGCCGGTGCTGTGGGCGCCCGAGGCGAGCGTTACTGACGCCCCGATCACTGACGACCAAACCATCGTGCGAAACCATGGTATAACACAAGAATACATAAGGGTCGATTCACATTACTGTATGACATTGTCTACAGAAGCGAGATAAAACTATCAAAACCAATATATCTATTCGGCCAAGACGGCCAGTGGGTCGAAAGACTCGTTGGTCTCAACGTTCCACGGTGCAACCATGTGGGGCATCTTTTCGATCTTGACGATACCAAACTAGATTGACATGAGCACACTTGACGGTGCTTCGCGAACATGAACCATTCTCAATCAAAGAAATGTACTACTCGTAGATAGACGTCGACATCAGCTGAGCTGACGACTAGGCGAGTGCCACCCACGGCGTGCTGCTTGGCGAGAGATATGAGTCATCCAAGCACGGGATGTGATGCAACGCGGCGTAGGCATCGAGCGCTGCAAAGTCGTTTGACGTCCAGTTCGCGGGGAGCAAGCTCAGCTCCATGTGCGATGTGGCGCTCAGTGCAGTCAAGAGGCGCTGGCACGCCGCGAGGTTCAGCGCATCGCCGCCGCTCAGCGTCATCGCCACCTGCTCCGTGTTGCGCATCTGGGCCAAAGCGGTGATGAGCAACGGCTCGCTCACGACCGTCACCTGAAGGTACACCTCGCACTTGCTTTTCTGGCGACTGAGACAGCGCGGCAGCGCACATAGAAGTTGTTGGAGTTGGTCGTCGGGCAACTGTGCGTTGGCGAGCTTGAGGCGGACCAGCGTTGTCGAGGCTGCCAGCGCCGCCGTAAGACCAGCAACGGCGTCGCTTGTCAGAGGCACGTTGCACAGCTTGAGGTACTCGAGCTCAGCTAGCAGCGGAAAGCTCGCGATCTGGACGTTGCTGAGTTTGAGCCGGCGCAGCGTTGCTGGCAGGGCATCCATGACCGGCGTCACCTCGTGACGCACCTTGCTGACCAGATTGAAGCTCTTGATAGCCGAGGACGACAGCTTGGCGGCGAGAGACGGTACGTAGTCCCAGTCAGCGTCGATGTGGATCGAGAGATGGCGCAGCTGCCGCGATAGCGATGGCGACGACGGATCCAGAAACGCGGCGAGAACGTTGTGTGAAAACACGAGCTTGATCGCCCGAAGCGTGCTTGATGCGACCAGCGCATGCGCCAAGGCCTTGGCAGCGCGCACGGGAAAGTCGATGTAAATCAGCGAGAAGCGTCGGGTCGATGGCCGAGTGAGCCATGCGACGAGATGCTCGCAGCGCTGCAGCGTGGTCTCTGTCTCGGAGAAGAGACGCAGATTAGACAGGCGTGGCCACAATGCAGCGGCGGCCATCATGACAGCGTCCATTTGCCCTTGATCGATCATCTCGTCGCCCCATTCAATACGGAGAAACGTGAGCTTTGTACACGCTGCGAGCTCCCGGCGCAGGACGCCGCTGTCCAGTGGCGCGCGATCGACGCCCAAGCTGAGGTCCGTAACGTTCGGTACCCAGTTGCCATACATGGATCGGAGTTCGAGCACGTCGTCAACGCCCGCGCACACGTTGGCGGTCGGCGGAAGCGGCGATCGTCGGCAAAAGTCGGCGACGCCAACCTCCTCGTAGATCCATAGCATGCGGAGCGCTGGCAGCGCCTTGATCACCATCTCTTGGTCCATGTTGACGAAGAAGCACACATCCGAGTCTGGCCACATGTGCTCGTCTTGGGTGAGGAGCGTCATGAGCGCGTCGAGGGCCTCGTCGCGGGCCTCGGCAGGCGCTGCATGGAGAAAGGCCAGCGCATCCGTGGGCGTGTCCAAGCAGTGAACCACCTGCTGGACGATCGGCGGAAGCAGCCATGATCGCACCGCCTGCACCCGCGCCCGCTTGGTCATCGCCATGGGAATAGAATTCTTGCCTCCCGTTTTCTCTGGATCGCACAAGGATGCGTGGGAAACGGATACGTGCGAAATGCCATGTGAGAATAACGTGGGAAATTAGAGCGATCCATGATGCTTTCTGCAATCGCTTGCTGTCGACGCCAACGACGAGATTAGGGTCGTCGGCTCAACAAGAGTCTATACATTTCGTTAGAGTACGCTGGGGCGAAAGCCGCGTTTCGATGTAGTGGTGACCACGGGCATAGTGCTCCACCACCCGGACTCGAGTGACCGCGGCGACGAGCAGAACGAGAGCGAGCGCGTTTGCCAGCACCGTTCGATCGAGGCCGTATCCGTGGATAGCGAGATGATGAACGCTCTTGGAGCATGTCGGCAAGGCGGGCGTCACGGCGTTTTACACACCCCTCGACGAGCTACTTGGCCACAACATGTCGATCATCATGCGCCAAGAGCTCGAGTCCGACGCCCAGATCGAACGCTACGTCCGCAAGGACGTTTTCTGGAGCGCCTACGTCTCGTAGAAGCTGGCCTCAAGCGCGGCGAGAATGGCCGAGTACCACTGCGTTACGTGTACCGATCGACGTTCATCGCGCTCACGACGTTGTCGAATGGCGTCCGCAGTCGCGGCACGTCCGACGCTGAAGAAGGTGCGGCGGGCGGCACGGCGGCCTTGCATAAGACAACGATCGTCGGTTGATGCGGGCGTGGCAGTCGCGGTCGATGTGGTCGCGGCCGGTCCAGGGTCCACTCGGGGACATGCACCCGTCGGTCGTCACGCCGTGTGAGCGTGAGCACGCCCGCCGAAGCCCGTCGGTTCACACGCAGCAGCGCCCTTGACGTTTCCTGCGCCTTGCTGCCATAGATCGTTCCTTCCAAGCGTCGTATGGTGTCATCGAGCGCCTCTACGGAGAAGCGAACGAGCGCGGGTAGACGTGATGAAGCAGCGCCGTTCCAAATGCTTCCAAATCCAATTTAGACGGATTCCGTACTCACTGTGGAATCGTACTTGATTGGATATCCGGATTTCTTGTATCAGCAAACGGCCGCGGACTTCAACTACACTACCCTCGACGCCGCCGTCGGTATTCACGGTACCCGGCGGCGCTGAGTCCGATCGATGGCTCCCGCCGCAAGCGCTTCATGCTTGATGTCCTGGTCCTCGCCCCGCCAAGCAGCTCGAGCAGAAGGAGCAGGAGTTCGCCGCCAAGAAGCAGCAGATCGCAGCCGACAATGCCCGCGGGTCGCGCATCGACAAGAGCTTCCTTTCGCACACGGACGCATCGTCCGAAGCCGAGTTCAAGCGCCAGACGATCGGGCTCGTGACCGCTGCAGAGTACCGAAAGCGCCGCGAAGACTGCCTCGCGCCGCCAGAACCTGCCCTTGAAGCCACCAAGACTGGTGATGCGTCGGTAGTCAAGCCAGCGCCAAAGAAGAAGAAAAAGAAGGCGACCATGTCCTTCTCACTCGACAGCGACGACGAGACGGACGCGCCTGCGAAGCGAAAGAAGCTCAAGTGTCACGACGTCTGCCTGGCAGCGTGTCAACAACGTACTGCCTGCCATGAAGCTCGCGCCCAAGGTCGCCTCGGATGCAAGAGGTACCTATGATCGAAACTTGTAGCCGTCGGTGACCAAGTCCACGGCGTAGACGCGCTCTTCAGAGTGATGCGCTCGTTCGTGTCTGGCGCGGTTTTTGCACCAAGTGCATCTCAGAGTGACGAGGCGCCAAAAGCAAACGAGGTTTCGCAGCTCGTAGCTCTCCTCCACTACGCAGAAGAAGCGCGAGCTCGACGCGGCTCGGCTTTCTCCTAGATGCATTTGCTCCTTATACGCCTTTCACAGCTCGAGCACACCACCGACCTGCACAACCAACAAGCTCCAGTCGACCGACCATCCACACGGCCGGCGTTGGCCACCGAGATGAGGCGGCTCGTTCTTCTCGACGAAATACCTCCTTTAGAGAGGCCACTGCCCGGCGCTGGAAGCCATCGGGTCGCGCATGCTTGCGAGGTTGACGACGGACCCCTCACGCTGTCGCTCGTTCGTGCGAAGAACCAGCATTTGCTTTTCACGCGCGTAGAAGCCGTCGCTCGTATTTGTGCGCGCGCGGCGATTGTTTGTCGACACGAAAACGAAGGTTGAGGGCCCAGTCGCTCGTCGTGGTTCGACGTCCGACTCGCTGAGATTCTCGTCCAGTAACTCGAACCAATGACGGCGTACGCCAACTTCAATGCATTTTTGGCTGCACGACGATGTTTTCTCTAGTACTGCGAGTGCGTGCCGACGTGGCACTCACTCAACGCAGTGCGTGGAGACGGCTTCATGCCCTGTACCATGTATTTGCGGACAAGAATCATACGTCTCGACACGGAGGAGATGGTTCCAAAGCCGCGATGCCTTTTCGCGGGCATTTTCGCTTCAGTTTGGACACCCAAGCACAGGAAATATACATCGCAACTTTGTTAAGACTCATTTCAACAACATCGCAACTTTGTTGAACTACTTGCATGGACAATTGACCGTGGCCACGTGCTCGAGCTACACTCTAGATGGGGACTTTTTCCGGCATCAATACTGGCGCCGTCGCCCATATCTAGCACGGACATAACGTCTCTCACATGGACAGATGTAGCAGCGGCGTTGAGTGTGCTACTGAGTATTGTCGTCGCCACCGCGTCGAACTGCTAACCCTACTCCCTACCTAACCCTATTGCCACGAACGCTCTGAAATGAACGCTGCCGCGTACACATAGGCATGCATACAACGCGTAGTAAGACTCTGTGATTTTGAATATCACATTCTCCGTACCTTCGTCGTTGCTAGCACCACCCACATCCATCAGTACCGGTAACAGCCCGCGCATAGGCAAGAAGCTCTAGGTGCGACAACATGAAGAAGCTCCAGCGCATCCATACCCTGGAGCCTCATCGTCCTCGATCTCTCCGTCGCTCTCTGGCTCATCACTCGCGCCAACCATCGCCAATGGATAGCGATCGCTACACAGTGGGCCAAACATAGACTGCTCGTCGAAAGCACGCCAATGTACTTTTGCGGTGCCCAAGCAGACAACGGGCCACGACAAACCGACTTGGAGACGTCATATGCATAATAACTGGTCTGTCCGCATTGACCGTCTCGGTCGAACTCGTTCCAATTTCCAACACGGGACTCGCCCACTAGCCTCGACCCCACATTCGATGTGAGTGCCCACCTCAATTCGAACGCTCGTCGCATAGACGCAGCTCAGAGAACCGAGAGACAGCCGTCTCGCCGACATAGGTGCTGCTAGACTAATGCAAAAAGGAATGTCGAATTGATTGGACGGTCAAACTAGGAATTCCATCACGGCAAATCGCTGACGCTTCTTGGGCTCGCCGTCTTCGTTGTCGCTCGTGAGATCGATTACCTCCTTGGGCGTATGATCGGTCGCGTTTGGTTCAATCGGTTTCGTGCGATGGGTCGTGGTGTCGTTGTCTTTGAGCTGGACCCGGCAGATGCTGCGGATCGTCGTGCTCCGGACGAACCGGAGCGTCGACAGCGCCTTCCATTTACTGTCTTCGAAGTAACAGCGACTGATCTTGCCATTCTTCTCTTCGCGGACGCGCACGGCCATGAGGTGCTGGCGGAAGCCCGGGTCTTCGAACGTCACGACATGGTACGCGCCGGGCGTCTCGCATGTCGTAATGATATCGTTTTGCTTGTCGTCGCGCGCCCGTTGCTTCAAGAGGCTCTTGCCGTAGATTTGGCGGTCGATATCAAAGCCATGTTTGCGCAAGAAGTCCAAAAGCGCAGAATACGACTTGTCCGGCACGCCCTTGCCGAGCTCGAGATTCTCATGCTCGACGAGAAAGTTGTCGATGAGTTTGGACGTGATCGTAGTGTTGTGCTGGCCCTTGAGGAATCGGAATGTCGCCATGAGAGCCTCCCGGACGCAAGTGCCAGTCGCGTTGGCGCCTTTTGTACCGGGGTTGATGTCAGGCACATCGCGCTTTCTTGCCCTGTTGCGACGAGATATAGCGGTACCTATAGCCGACGAGCCGGTCCCGGAAGCGGCAGGCGATGCGACGACAGCGAGCTCGGGAGCGGCAGGCTCGAGGACAGTACCTATAGCCGCGACTGCCGCAAGAGCCGACGAGCCGGCCCCGGAAGCGGCAAGCGATGCGGCGACAGCGAGCGCGGGAGCGGCAGGCTCGAGGACGGCCGCAGCTTCGACCGCCATGGCATCCGTCACAAGGCCGATCAACTCTGTCGCTGGGCCGTCTCTCTGCTGTCTCTGTTTCTTGGGCTTGCGACGTCCGCGGCGGCGGTTCTTCTTCTTCTTGCCGTCGGGCACTTGGACCTGGGCTTCCGCTTCCGCTCGGGCGTCGGCCATTGGGTATTGGGAATTGACGGTAGTATTAAAACAATTCGTATTAAATTAAATACCGCATAAATTGTAGGGAGAGTATTTTTCAATCCATACTCAATCGGCTCAAATATTATCAAGTCATACTCAGCTCAATGACCAATATTATCGATCCATACTCAACGCATCTGATTGGCCAAAATAGACAAAATAATCAGCTCTGATTGGACAATACTCAAATAATCCAAGGAGCCTAGCACAGTCGCTCCAACCCCAAATAGTGTTAAATAATACCAAAAAAACGCAAATAGAGTATGTCGGACCGCCGATCCAATGTGGGGCTCAATTTCAAAGTGCGACCGACCACCCCAGACAACTTCTAGTACGATGCAGCGCGCGAAGCCCGTCGTCCAGCCGCCGACTGTTGGTCAACAGATGCTACGGGGACAACTTGCGAGTGCCATCAAGGACTTCGCTCTAACGAACGGATTCAAGGTCAAGGCGGCCAAGCCCGGTACTTGCCGCCATGACACACACGACTTGAATGACCATCAAACGCTCTCCATAGGCACTGTTGTGAACGGAGAGCCGGTCAAGAACAGCGGTACGGCCGTGTTCTATGTGTGCGATGATCCCAACGATGCTCCCCGACCGCCGAGAACTACCTTTGGTTTTTGAGGCTGTGCATGCGCTCTGGCATCAACTTCGCCGACTTTGCTTTGTTTGCGGATCGCGGCAAGGTGACCAATGCGGTCGCAACGCTTGGCGCCTCCAGCTACGTCATCGCGCTCAAGCACTGTACGATCCACTTGCTGCGCAACTTGAAAACGCAGTTCAAGTGCGACGGGCCTGCGTTCCACGGCGCAGTGTACGACCTACAGCAGGCTCCAACAAGTGGTGCATACACAACGGCGCTCAAAGCATTTACCGACGAAGTGGCCAAGTACCTCGACGACCTCGGCCCTGAGAACTGGACGGTCCACGGCAACATGCAGTCGTACAAGCCCTCGGGGTCGCCAAACACCAAGGCTCGATCGCTGTTTGGGGTGCGATCCACGAACTTTGTCGAGTCTGACAACGCTAAAAGTACCCCCATCGCTTTGCTCACGATTGCTAATTTTTTTCTAGATATTCATAATAGCCTTCGCTTCAGCCTTCCATTTGCTGCGATGTACACCGCTATGATCGACGTCATGGAGACAGCCTCCTCTCGACGCCGAGAGGTCGCAAAATTGGCCGCGACGATAAAGCCAGATCTTACGCCCCACGCCGCTGCGCTGCTCAAGGCGCAGAAAGACATGGCGGAGGCGTACTCTGTGCGCGAATCCAACTCGTCGATATTCGTCGTCTACGTCCCCGCCACATTCGTCGAAGGTCGCGAGGTCAACATCCGTGCTCGTTCCTGCTCTTGCGGGTACCCCGAGCAAATGCACCTGCCTTGTCGCCACGTGATCCGCGCCCTCAAGCATGTCGGTGAGCTTCATCGCATCGATGAGTGCATTCACCCGATGTACAAGTTCGCGAACTACAAGCTCGCGGTCGACCGTGTCTCGTATCGCCTGCCAATCTTCGCCGAGCGATGCGTGGACCCCGACATCACGGTGCTACCGCCCCTCGTAACGAAGAGCAGCGGCAAACCTCGCACCAACCGCATCGCGAGCTCCGGCGAGTCCGGTACCAAGAACAAGACGTACCAGCACCGAGCTCCCTCGACGAAGAAAGCGTACAAGTGCAGTTCGTGCGGTGCGACGGACCACAACGCGAAGACCTGCGGCAAGAAAGGGCGGAAGCTTGTACCCGCTCGCTCGGCCGGAAGCTGTCTCTTCAAAGACATTCCGGCTGCCTGTGACCGTATTCTTATTACGGAGCTGCTCAACCCGGACGACGACAGCGACAGCGACAGCGACGACGTCGATGATTCCTGCGAAGTCGACGAATTCGGCTTTGCCGTGGGAGGCCGCGGGATTGCTGACGTCGAGCAATGAGTCCGCAATGTATGGCACAGCTAGATAATGCACAACGTTTTTATGTTTATGGTGTGTCATCGTAGTTGTCTGGGGTGGTCGGTCGCACTTTGAAATTGAGCCCCACATTGGATCGGCGGTCCGACATACTCTATTTGCGTTTTTTTGGTATTATTTAACACTATTTGGGGTTGGAGCGACTGTGCTAGGCTCCTTGGATTATTTGAGTATTGTCCAATCAGAGCTGATTATTTTGTCTATTTTGGCCAATCAGATGCGTTGAGTATGGATCGATAATATTGGTCATTGAGCTGAGTATGACTTGATAATATTTGAGCCGATTGAGTATGGATTGAAAAATACTCTTGTAGGGACCGTGTTCGGTGTAGAAAGTGGATCTCCACCCAGGATGTGCATCCGGTTGGCATCGACGAATCTGGGTGCTGACGCGTTGGCTGTCACGGAATGAGCTGGAGATGGATAGTGATCGGCGTGGTACGCTGATGCCAAGCTTGAGCTTGCGGGACGAAGGCGAGGCAGCGCAAATCTATAGGAAGCTGCTGCAACCCAAGGACGCGGGTCCGATACCTCTTTATGAATCGAGAGTCTTTTCCTTCGGCTTAGTCGATGGCTGTTGTCCTTGCGTCCCTTCCGCGTGGCATGTTGATGGTGCGGCCATAATTGTTTCAAAGTCGTTGGCACGCTTGGTCCTGGACCATGTGTTTCCTATCAGCTGGGCTGGACCAGGTCCAGCCCAGCTGATAGGAAACACATGGTCGATCGTCTGGCGCCATTGAGCGATTCGATGGCGGAGACAGAGATCGTCGTGATCGCAGCCCCGAGCGCGCCGGTCCAGAAGAAGACGCGCCGTCGCGAGCGTCGCAAACGCAAGACGCCGGCTGACTAGCCAGCCCAAGCAAAGAAGCACGGCAAGGTGAAGCCCGCCTTGGAGCACGGCGCCGACGTCGTCCAGCGCCAGCGGCCGAGCAGGCTGCCGTTGCCACATGCTGCCGGCCATCGGCGCAGACACGATCAACGACGAAGCGATCATCAACGGCGCAGCGGTGGTCAACGGTGCAGCGCCAACGATGCTACTCCCCGAGGTCCAACGTGGTGCTATCGAGCCGCCGTGTGTAGGCGTACCAGCGAAGAAGTCACATTACGGCGTCAAATCGCGCAACAACAGCGTCCTTGTCGCCGCCTCAGTCGCTTGCGTCTCTCGAGGACCTCAACAAACTGCGTAGCTTTGCTGCCGATCGCGAAGCCTGGAAGGCCATTACACAGCGAGTCGTCATGGGCCTCACCCGCGGCCCCAATCGCCCCCGGGCGACTACAGAAGAGCAAGACGCGCCCCCGCGCCGCCGCCTGCGCAGCCACACCCTGGCGAGCGAATGAAGAAGGAGATTGCTACGCATGCGAACTCTTTGTAACAACGGAGATAACGCGAAACACGTTCATATATATGTACTTTACATACCGCGGGAACGCGTCGCCGCGCCACCATTTGTGGAGCACGAGAAACGCAAAGAGGCTGCCAAAGACGAAGGCGCCGACGGTCGCCATGACCTGCACCGCGTAGAGCTCGGGATAGTTTGGATTTTGCGGCACGAGGCGGTCACTGAGCGCGGCCGACTTGCGCGCGATCGCCACCAGCGTGTAGAACGCCACGAACGCAAAGGGCACGTCGCCCGTGCCAAGGAGAATGAGCGTGTTGGCCAGCACCCACATGCCGCACCAGAAGACGTAGATGCTCATCGCGTGCACGCCGAGCGCTTCGAGCGAGACGTTGAGCGCGACTGTCGCGGCCGCGCACGTCCACGCCCAGTAGAGCGTCAACGGCGTTCGGATCCAGAGGACGTCGGCGACCGACGTGGTTGCAAAGGCATGGTTGGCGTTGCTACTCCCAGTCATTCTACACACCCTGTGTCTTACGCGCTGGTACGCCATTCCGCTTCTCACTTTCACATGGGCATGCTGTTTATTCACCAATATTCATTGGACCCACTGACCCTCAGCTTGCCCATCGACCCATGGGTCGTTGGGTCCGGGTCGGGTTAGGCTGGGCTGGCTTATTCAAGGAATGGGCTGGGTCCGGGTGGGCAAAATGGGGCAAAACGACCTCATGGGCTGGGCTGGGTGGGTCCAAAAAAATGAGAGACTCATGGGCTGGGCTGGGCTGGGCTGGGTGGGCTCAAAAATCTCGTGCAGATCTCTGGAACCAACCACTCACAATTTGCGCGGTTGCAGAACGGCGCTGCTGAGCCGCGGCCTGGGAAGCATGGAGCAATGCGAGCGCCGCAGCTAGCGAGCCGACGTGTGCAATGTGCATGTGACCGTTTGGTGTGCCACGTACTCTCCGGCACCCCATGCTGCTTGGCACCGGCGCCGATTGCAGTCGCTCAAGCCTCGAGTATGCCCGCCACCACGGTTTTTGTCACTCGCAATTTGCGCGGCTGCAGAACGGCGCTGCTGAGCCGCGGCCTGGGAAGCATGGAGCAATGCGAGCGCCGCAGCTAGCGGGCCGACGTGTGCAATGTGCATGTGACCGTTTGGTGTGCCACGTACTCTCCGGCACCCCATGCTGCTTGGCACCGGCGCCGATTGCAGTCGCTCAAGCCTCGAGTATGCCCGCCACCACGGTTTTTGTTGTCTGGTTCAGCAAATGGTTGCTTCTTCTCATCGCGTCCTCTCATAGAAGCGCCACAGCGACAAATTACCATACTGCAACGATGCAGCGGTGTCCGGTATCTTCAACGCCAAAGGCACGTCGGCACGCGGCTACGACATTCAAGCTGATTGCACTCGACGAGCCAACGTGAAAGCGCCGCCGCGCGCAACGTCGACGCCAGGACCACTATTCCTGAGCAAGTGCGCGTTCTAGGTGCGCTGTCGATCTCGACGACCTTGGTCTTGGCAAGAACGAGAGCGCAGCTGCTGCCGAGGTTTGAAGGCGCCAGTTGTTTCAAGATTAACAAGTGACCGGCCGTAGCTCTCGTGTCCCTCCCGGAACACCATCCCGCCGGCCAACGTTCCGACGAGCTGGCACGAGGTACGAATCATTCCTTGCGATAGACACGGATAAGAGTTCGTGTAGGGGATCTGTCGCAACTCATTGGCTGCAATTGCGCTCCATCCGTCAGTCGTCGGCACGTGACTATCGCACGTATATTGTCGCTCCCGTGTCGCGAGAGTGGACTGCATAAAATGATGCGTAGGACGGTCCTGGCCACGCTAAGCAAAGATTGTTGACGCGCGGCTCAACTGACTGGCACACTGCGCGTCGCTAGTGGGGCGTGAGCCCTTCTGGGTCGTTCTGCTCGGGGCCTCTATTCGTTGGGGTGCGGGCCATGAAGCACCAAACCAGCGACGCAAGTGTCGATCGACCAAGTTCTTACCGTGCTTGTAGATGCTCCATCAAGATCATCCAGCCCATCTGACGCTCGACGGCGACGTCCGCCTTGGTTTGCAGGCACTCATGCGGCGAGCGTAGGCACAGGTCTCATGCAGTGTTGTTTGTTGCAAGGCGTTCAACACGGGCGCACAGGAGATCTGGAAGGACGCGCGTTCGTCCCGTCAAACCAACGCCAACCTTTGCCTCATGTGCGCGCTTCATGCTCCTCACAGGAACGAGAATCTCATTGCTTTGTATAGACTGACAACATAAACGCAAGCTCGTCGTCGTCATTGACCTGCTCTCGTTCTAGGGTGTCCTCTGTCCTCGTGGCCAAAACACCTCGGCGCGACGCAGCAAACTGATCCAGGTGCGTCCATGTTGTCAACATGTAGCTAATACCGCGTGTAGATACCGTCCTCGAAAGCGGTCAAAGCATCAGCAGGTAGTGAGCAATCGCACCCTGAAGAACGACGAGATCGTCTTGCTTGTTGCCGCGACCGTCCACGACGGCCAAACGCGTGGCTGTTCATCGTCCCGCTCGCGATCGAGCGGCTCTTCCTCTCACCACTCTACTTGATTAGCTACGGGATGAGGCGATCCTCGTCAAGCCGCTGGCCAAGCCCATCACGTTTGATCGCGTCAAGGCCAAGGGCAAGTGCCAGGCGACCATATTCCTCCAGGGCGGCGTGTCCCACCTTGTGCTCCAGCGCAACTGGCTTGGGCCTCGTCCATCCAACGCATACGTCTTAGACACGGACTTGGGTGGCTTGTGGCACGCGTCGGTCGTTTTTAGCAACCCGCGTCCGAGGGAGAGACGAGCGGCAATCCTTGCAGATGCACGCATATGTGGATGGATGCTGTCCTGTTTCGGTGCATGCATCTGTAAATCAAGGCGGCGATAACAGCAGCACCAGCATCCCTCCGGAGGCTTGTCATAGGTTCCTATAACGAGGTCTTGAGCCTCGAGAGAGACCTTATGGGCCGCCATTAGGCGCCCTCTACCAGTACCTCAGAATATACGCCCCAGTGCACAAGCATGGTAGTCTGTTAGATTAACAGCCGTACTTGCTCTATGGACAATGACTCGGAATACCTTGCGACCGCTCAAGTGCCCGCTCAAGTGCCCGATAGAGCTCCAGCTCCGGCGCTCAACGGGCTGTCCCACGCGTCTCCTTGTCCTCGCCCTCGCTGGCGCCGCCGCGCTCGCCGCGCCGTGGCACTTCACGTCGAGCGAGGCCGACTGCAGCTACCACTGCAGCCCGTACACGCTGTCGCCGACCACCGACTGCGCCACCCGCAGCAGTACGGGTCGATTTCTCGAAGAAGGCAGTGGAGGCTCTGGTGGAGGCTGGTGACCGGCAACTCGACCAAGCATCGACGAGCACGCTCGGCCGCCGACAACATCGCTCAGTCGTCACCAACCGCGCCAAATCGCAAACAACCGCTCTCGGCCGCCGCCGACCACGACTCTCGGATGCGTTGTCCGTCGATCAATGCATGTCGGGCGGACCTCTATGCGGCACCACGCGATCGGGTGACGACAGAGATGGCGACAAAGCCGCAACGTGTAACTGCGCCGCGCTTGCCTCAATGGCGACCGCCGATTGCGGTTGGACATGCCGTCGGCGGGCGAACTCCGACAATTGCGGTCTCGTGTCGACAACCGCAGCGCGCCACCGTCCACCGCCTGCTTGACAGCGACAATATCGGGACGTCGGCAACTGCGCCGTACGTCAGCAACTGCGCCGAACGTCATAAACTGCCGTCGCACGTCGCCAAGCGTGCAGCCACCTGTCTCTCGATGACTGCAACTGCCGTCGGATGCATGCAACCGCAGCCGAACGTTGTCCACTCACTTTGCGGCGTCGGTAACTGCCGTCGGACGTCGCCAAGCGTGCAGCCAACTGCCTCTCGACGTCTGCAACTGCAGTGGACCGTCGACAAACAGCAGTCAACTGCCCGTCAACGTTTGCAACCGTCGCCGGACGTTGGTCGCCGCCTTTGTGCCAGCGACGACTGCCGTCGTACGTCGCCCAGCGTGCCGCCAACGGCAGCTGGATGTCTGCAACTGCAGTTGACCGTCGACAACTGCACCTCGGCTGCCTGCAACTGCCTCTCGCACGTCGACAACTGCCTCTCGGTCGTCGGCGACTGTCTCTCGGTCGTCGTCAACCGTCGTTTGCCTCTTGGTCGTCGGCAACTGAGACCTGCCGTCGGCAGCTGAGCTTGACGTCGATGATTGCGTCCCTTCCACCATGCACACCCCGATGGACCCGTTCCTACGATGGCTTTGCAGAGCCAGAGGAAGACACGGAACTGCTCCACATCGGTGGGTCACGGATGCTCTGCCCAAGCGCATGCCGCACAAGACGCTATAGTTCCTCTGCAACCAGTACTGCGACAACACGCAATGGCTGCTGCCTGCGATCGCACCGGTGCCAGGGGAAGAGCGACAACGTGACGCACGACGACAACGTGACGCACGACCAGCACGCAATGACACATACGCGATACACTGCAGCACAACTCGGTGCCAGTCGTCGCCATGTCAAAGATATGTTGAGACGCTTCTTGAAGTCAACGTGTCGATGCTGCGACGGCGTTGAAGCCGACGACGACCACCGACAGCGGCAACTCCAAGGTCACTACGTCGGTGCACCAGCTGCGCATGGTCTCATCGACAACCGACTGCGACGCGACCTGACGGTGGCATGCTAGTCGTCGGTTGCGCCGCCGTTGACACGACGGTGCCACGACCAACAACGACGGTATCCGAGACGATCGACGCGTGACACCAACACGACGATGCAACAGTCCCCGTGGACGACGGTCTCTATTGAGATAGCAAACGTCAGCAACGACGATGATCGACGTCGACAAATCGATGCAACGGTCACCTACGGCACCGCTCATGGTCCAGATGGTCGCTGGCAAATGCCAACTTGTTAATACGATGGCGCTCACGGTCGAGATTGCCACTGGTCGACGCCGACAGGCGGTGCAGCCACCGCCGAGAACGGCGCTCTCCGTCGGTACGATTGCCGCTCGCGATGACGCTCGCCATTGACGCGTCTGGGCATTGGTTGATCACGACTGCTCCCGCCGTTGACATGTCGGTGCAGCGGTTGATTACGACGCTGTCAACTGCCACGACGAGCACTGCTCGCTACGTCGTCGCGCGTCACCATGCCAGCGCAACGACAGACCAAATGGACTTTGCCTCCGGCGTACCAACGTCCGGCACCGATTACCAAGGCGAGCATTGGCGGCTGCAATCCTCGGTGACCGCTTGCCGGAGCCAGGGGAAGAGCGACGGCAGCAAGCATGCAAGGAACGTCGATTGATGACTCCGACAACCTTGACGACGACAATGCTCGACCGTAAGAGGCGCTGCCTAGTGTGACCAAGGTCGTTCCCGAACAAGTCACAGCGACTGTGCTCGACAAGGACAAGGTAGTCGACGTCGCCCAGAGTTTCCACACAGCGCGACCGCCGTCGACGACGCAGACGCCACGGAGCCTCGATGTGGACGTAACGCCGGTGCTCGACAAGGTCGTGCCAGTCGACGACACAGCAGTAGTGTCCAGCATGACCAAGAGAGTCGAAGCCGCCTACGCACCTTGACGGTGGGCTGGACGTCGTTGCTCAAGTGACACTTGACGGCGCTGCAACGGCAGTGTGCCGCAATTGCTCGACTGTCAACTATTGATGCTCTCGGTGGCGAAGACACCTGCCGACGTTACGACGTCACGGTGCCTACTAGGCCGACACACCGGTGTCCATGACGGACGCGACGGCCGACGATGTGTCGCGCCTCAACGATGCCCGGGAAAGGACGCCCGGTTGTGAGACGTACGTGAAGTCGACACCGACGCCGATGTCGCGACGACGCCGTGATGCTCAAAATCATCGATTACGGTGACACCAGACGTCGACACCAACGTGTCCAGTGCTACAACGACGGACGACGGCTGTCGCCGTCGATGCCTGAAGATGGCCGTGTCCAACGTCGACGCGCCTGCCACACTCGCAACGACTACAGACCGCGACTGCTCGTTGCCCGTGACGTCGACGCTCCTGCCCAGTCGCCGCGTTGTCGAAGTCGATGGCCGATGATGGTCGTGTCCTACGTGGACGCGACGACGCAAACGCTCCCATGCCGGTCGACGATGTGCTTGCACACGCTTGCAACAACACCGCTCGCGACAGCTCTTTTGAAGTCGACGCGCCCGCGCAACCCACGGGTGCAGCCAGCACCGGATGCCAAGACGACGCCGCACACGATGCTTGTGTTTCTACCACTGATCTTCAAGCGACTGCTGCAGCCCGTGTCGCACTCCCACGACGGTGATACCGGCCTCGACTGCTTCCACGACGGTGACACCGGTCTCGACTGCTTCCACGACGATGACACCGGTCTCGACTGCTCCCACGACGGTGACACCGGTCTCGACTGCTTCCACGACGATGACACCGGTCTCGACTGCTTCCACGAAGGTGACACTGGTCTCGACTGCTTCCACGACGATGACACCGGTCTCGACTGCTCCCACGATGGTGACTGCATGGCAAGCTACGACGTCGTTTCTAACGAGCTACAACATGCCGACGATGTCTCTGCGCGAGGGCATACAAGAGATCGAAGCCGACTGCTACGGCATCGATGCGACGCCAACTGCCGCGACAACGATGCGACGCCGTGACGCCGTTGCGACGTCAACTGCCGCGATGCCGATGCGACGTCGGCAGCCACGGCTCGGGCACCGCGGTCACGACGTCGATACCGACAGTCATGACACCTTCACTCACGACGCACACCACGACGTCGTCAAGGACGGCAAACTTTACGATGGCGTCGTCGATGTTGCCGCCCTGCGAACGACCGTGACGGTCGATGTCACGAAGGCTATCAACGACACGCCTTGGTACCGTGACGCGTGTCGTGAGAACGACGTCACCCGCAAGGACCCGTCGAACCGACAATGACAAAACAACCAAGTCCTTACGGAACGGTTGCGCCTGATACTCAGCACCTGGGCCTACGCCTATGTCTACGGAACGATGACTATGAGGTAGCGCAATGCGCCTCCGTGCATCCACGAAGCTTCCAACTCCCATCGGGATTGGTCGCTATCGATTACATATCTACATATTCACTCGATGCCTCTAGGCTTGCGCCTATGCAACTCTACTTTAATTGACGAAGCCTCCAAACCCATTTGGGACGGTCGCTATCACTTCCTAGACTGTATATCTACTTGACGCCTCTGGGATTGGACCCATGCGCTCTATGAACTCAATACATTACAGTACCTTCCATGAACATGCATGTGTCTTGAACCATCGCATCCCATGTTGAGGAGGGGAAGAACCAGCAAGCGCACTCGGTGCAGCTCGAGCTGAAGCACCAGCAAGCGCACTTGATGCAGCTCAAGCTGATGGCCCCAACACACGATACTCGACACCATACCCATGCCATGCAATCACATCCTTGGTGTCCGCTATATGACATCGATAACTGACCTTCTTGACGCTCATCCTCACGACGCTCATGCCGCCGAGCTCCAAACGAGCCCTGCTGCAAGACAACCCGAAGCGGTCGTCAACCCAAGCGTACCAGCACCGACTCACAAGACGTCCAGCGCCAATGAACGCGAAGCCATGCGCCGACCTACGGCTCGGACGAACGACTCAACGATCCCGACCCGAGATCAAGATCAAGTCGCATCGATCCAACAACTGACGTCCAAGGTCGCGCCTGCCATGCAAGGTCGCGCGTGGAGCGAGCCCACCAAGATTGACGGTCGCGCACACCGCACCGGACCTCGGCTCAACCTCCGACGGCTTTGGTGACCCGCACCTCCAAGTGCTCGTGCGCCGCAGCGGACACGTCCAGTGTCGTCGATCGACCCATCAGCTCCGCGGCCGACCACGTCCACGACAAGCGGACAAAGCCCGAACGCTTCGCTCGCACAACTCGCGCACTCCGCCAAGATGTCGCACCGCGATCGACCGACGCGATCTTCCAAGACCACACTCGGAACCAGGGGAAGTAACAGCAGGACCAGCATCCCTCCGGAAGCTTGTCATAGGTTTCTATAGCGAGGTCTTGAACCCTCGATAGAGAGACCTTATGGGCCGCCATGCCCTCTACTACATGTAATCTCACCTCAGAATATACGCCCCAGTGCACAAGCATGGTAGTCTGTTAGGCGATTGCAAACGAGCTTTGAGTTTAGTCGTGGTCGTAGAGCCGGCGACGCTGTTGGCGCAGCTCGGACGTGGCTTCGCGCACGAGGTGAAGCATGGCCGGAATACAGATGCGGCCGCGAGGTCGGTACACACCGGCCGTACATGCTTCAAACAAGGCCCATCGGTACGCCCGCTGCCAGCGTAGCCGCACTTGGACTTGAATTGCTGATCGGCGCCGGTGCCGCATGGCTGCGAGGTCGGTGCGCGACGAGTCGAGCACTTCCTTGCAGATAAGAACGCCTGCAAGGACGACGGTCGCGAGACCGCTGCCGAGGATCACCATCGCAATAAGCTCCGAGTTGCCGTCCTCGGTTGATAAAGTGTGCACGATACCGAGGAAGAGCGTCAGACACAACTGGAACTGCATGATGCTCGACACGAGCGTATCTGTCCACTGCTTGTACGGCTTGAGAAAGAGCAGCAGCGCCATCGTCAAAAAGCTAGGTCGCATCCAGCAAAAGCACATCATATCGGTAGAGCGTACCAGATGAGCATGCCAACCACCGCCTGCGCGAGCATCGAGTCGAGGAAGACAACGCCGGCACTCATGAGCAGTCGCCGCACCAAGTCGACGACTTCACAGTACCAGTAGCGCACGTCGTCTACACGCATTCATTCGCAATTTCCAAGTCAGAGAGCGTCGGTACAGTTGTTGTAGATGAAGCCAATGCGACTGAGCACGAGTGGGTCCTACTTCAATCAACAGCCATGAGTCTATTTAGAGTACCCCTTGCAGCATTGTGACGACCTGGAGGTTGCGCTGCTGCATGTACAAGCCCAAGTAGTAGTCTTGCACGTCGAGGAACTTTGACATGGGCGTATACTTGCGCTCGTTGCGACCGAGGACAAGGTGGGCGCGCATCTCGCGGAGCCACTTGGCGCGAAGTGCTGCAAAGGGCGGCTGCCGAAGGACCCGTACACGGTCGTCGACGCGGCGTATGCGGGCGCGGTAGATGAGGAGCCAGAACAAGACTGGGACGCCAACCACCCAGAGCGCAACGCCGACACCAGCCACACCCGCGTAGAGAAACCACCCGGACGAGAAGCACGTCAGCGTTCGATCGACGACGAGGACGTACCCGGTTGCCGTCCGCTCGCAATGGAAAATTGAAAGCACTTTTTGAGCGACCATTGGATAGGTGCAGAGGAGGAGCCAAATGCCGAGCCGGAAGCACTTGGCCTTGTACAGCTGAAGGTTCAAGCGGAGCTTGACACGCGCTTGCCACACGCGCAAATTGCTACGGAGCAGACGCTCCTTCATCTGCGCCGTTTGAAGGCGGTGTGCGAGCGGGCACACTTGGTGGTGCGACATGTACACCGGAAGGCCCGTGGCGTGGGCTTGCGACGTTGCGATCGTGCGCTTGATTGCAACGTGGCACTGCTTTTGCGCGACGAGGCTACCGCGGCGAGCAATGAGCTGGCCGTCGCCAAATTGCTGCTGGAGTGTAGCATAGGCATCGCGCGAGAGCGACTCGAGGACGGGAAAGCCGCAGTGCAGACAGCTGCGAGGAACGCGGTCGAGCTTGGCCTTGTACAGATACCCGCCGCGCCAATAAAAAACTCGGAGGATGCAGAAGAATGCCGCCATTGAGGCCAGCGTGAGTCTACGCATGAGTCGGTGAATTCGTGTCTGCATCGAAGACGCACAAAAAGATGCCAAAGTAGTTGGTCGACAAGAGGCAATTGATACGAATCATCGAGAGCCAGTCCTAGACACACCGTCAATGTCGATATTGACGCGTGGACGTACGAGGTTAAACTGCGACGACGCCTGCATCGCGTCTTTGACCGATGTCGGCCACACGGTTTTGTAGTTGGTGTAAAAATTGCCGAAAATCTGGAGAAAGCCGAGCAGCAGTTTGATCTTCTCGGGGTGTAGAACGAGTACGGGCGACTCGTACTTGACGCCAAACACGTGGTGCTGGTTCTGAGTGTGCTGGTAGTGTCGAAACAACAGCGTCGAGTGTAGAAACCCCCAACACCCACGCTCGTCGCGGTAGTCGGTCGCCACTCGACGCTTCCTCGGGCGTCCACTGCTTGGTGCGACGTGGTCTTTCTTGAAGGCGCGGTCCGCCTGGGCGTTATGAAGCAGGTATGCCTCCGAGTCGTCCTATCGAATCCATTCATCGTATTGACAGCACCAACGCAAACGGTCGTCCGACCGTCAAGAAGCTCGAGATGGCGACGCCACTCCAAATACAAAGAATGAGAAAAGCTCCTGGAATGACGACCCAATTGACGTGGGCCAGCGATGACTCGGTCGACGTGCAAGCTAGTCGTACGTGTTGAGAAGTATGCATTCGGCGAAAGCGATGGAATGGTACCGACACAAGCCCCAGACGCAGTGCGGGCATAGTGCGCAGCGCATACCGAGCACCCGACACCATCGTAGCCTTCCGCGCATGTCGCGTTGCCCGCACACGCGCCGGGTACCTACGCAGAGTATTTCGAGTCAGAATAAAAAATAGCGATGGTGTCAACACTGCACGGCGTCGACGACAGGTTGGCGATGCAGGCAAAGACGCGACTCGCGGGCCAGTGCTTTTTGTACTCGAGAAGCGGCGTGTTTGACATGCACGTATACAAACTCAGCTCCAACGGCACCGACGCGTTGACGTAGCCAAGGCATGGATCGGCGCTGGACCAGAGGCTGGGATCACACGCGGTCGATGCCTAGAACGGATCATGCCAATTTGGTGCGTAAGAAAACGTCTACCGAGCTGGGTGCAATGTCGAGCGCATACTCTGGCGCGGCAACGATTGTGGCAGCATGCTCGCAGCTCACACCCAGCGGACACAGAAAGCACCCAATACCACCGAGACTACATAATGCCACGTCAAATGGACCGCAGCACCTCTGTGATGCACCTTGTGTGACCTGGCGGGCACGGCGCACAACCCCTAAGCACAAACGTAGAGCGCCACTGCATACTGTTAACGATACCAAGAAGTGGCCGCCGTACTGAACCCGACGGGGCACTCGGTCACGCGCACTTGCAGATTTGAATGGATCGACGACTGTGGCGACGGCAGATCGCAGCGGACGTGCACCTCGTAGATGCCGGGCGGACCAGTGATAGTTGCTTGGCGTAGCGCGATGCGTCCGTCTTGGATCCACAAGCTGCCCGTCTGCTCTACGCTCGCGCCAGCGACGCGCCATGCACACGACCAATCGGCCGTCGCTGGATACGACTGGTTGTACGCGTCGACAATTTGGAACCACGGCCAGTCCCATCGCTCTGGCGCCGTCGTATCCGCGAAGGCTCCGAGGAGGAACCCACTCACCAGTGTTTCTGGCCAAGACCTTGGCACGAGTCGGACAGGTCCCGACGCGACGGCACCGATACTGTCGTTTAAAACGACCTGAGTAGCGCCATGAGGTGAGTACACTGCGTCACCACGCTTTGTCGCTCGGTTGCGCGTCATGTTGGCTGCAATCACTGTCACCCGGGCGTCACCAAAGAGGCCGACGGCTCCCTACGTAGGTCTGAATGGTCTCGGTGGGGTCCAAAGCGCGTACACCAAAGGCAGCTATGTTGTCGCTAAATGTCGACATCTTGACGGACGCACTAGCCGTTGCGCCGAGAAGCCCAACCGCGCCACCGTAGCCTGCGAGAGCCGAGTTGTTGGAAAAGACGGTGCCCGCAAGCACCAGATGCGTTGAGGTCACGGCAATGGCCCCGCCGCTACCCGTCGCTGTGTTCTGCACAAAGAAGGACCGTTCGATCGTTGCTATTGGCGCGTCGCGGAGAGAGATGGCGCCGCCGTCGACACCGTCGTTGCACTCAAAAGTACTCCCGACCACCGCGAGCAAGGACGACCGCAAGGCTATCGCAGACACTTGTCGGTGTCCGAGGAGCATCGCGTTCTGCAGCTGTACGGAGCTATTGTGGCCAGCGATGCCTGCAACAGAGTGCTTCAGAGCATGCACAGTGCATCGGTCGTGGGTACCTGCACCATGGCGCGCAGCAGTGTTGGCCGTGAGATTCGAGTCCACGAAAAGCAGACGCGTCGAAGCAAAGGCTCGCAGATGAACGCCGCCACCAAGATCCAGAGCGGTATTGCTTTCCAGTTGGGAGCCACACACACTGAGATTGGTTCGTCGGTCGGCGCTGATACCACCGCCATGCCGACCCGCTCCTAAAATTAATGAGAAAATGACACGCGTAGTGGTACCGTACGACATTGCTGCAGCCTCGAGTGCTCGATGGTGAGGCTCACGTTGCTAGCAAAATCGCGCCGCCATCGCGGTCCGCTGCGTTGTTGTAGAAACGCGTCGAGTGGATGTCGACGTGAGCGGCATCGTTGGTGCAGATGCCACCGCCGTCGGCTTGCGCGACGTTGCTTGATATGTCGGCTCCCGACACCTGCCAGTGCGATCGCTGGCCAATGTACACGCCGCCGCCTTGACGCGCATGGTTGTGCGACACGTTGAGCGCACGACCCGCCACCGCTGTGTTTTCGAGATAGATGGCGCCCCCTTTATTGTTGGCTCGGCCGCCTACGCAGTTGACGCGATCGACCCACAAGTAGCTGTGCACCGCCGCGACGCAGCCACCGCAGCTGGCTTTGATACCGCGGATGGAGACACGGGTTAGCGAGAGTTGCGCCATGGTTGCGACGAGCCGGACGCCGGCAAATGCTACGTTCTCGATGTCGACGACGCCTGCGATTGACCATTGCGACGGCACGGCGCAGACAATGGTAGGGGACAAAGCAACGCCAATGATTGTCACGTTGGTCAAGTCAAGAGGGCACTCGGCGGCGTACGTGCCGGGCTGGACGAGCAGTGTGTACGTGGATGACGCTGATGCTGGTCTTGCTGCCAGCGCTCCGCGAAGGCTCTGAAACGGAGACATGACAGACCCGCGAGCTACGTCGTCATTGCCCCGAGTCGTGTCGATGTAAATGCCCACATCACGCCGCTCGATGGGCCGCGCCGCCGGCAGCAAAGCGGGTTCCAGATAAGCGAGTCCGGCAGACGTGCTTTCTCGTCCAGGCACACCATGTAGCTTGTGTGATAGCGTTCGAGTACAAAGCAGCAACATCAGCCACGCGTATGGCAGCCATCGCATCATATCGACGGTCGCAAATTCGGTTTCGGCTGCCGTTTTCCTATCTCCTGTTAAGTCTTGCCCTATTATTAACCCATATTGGTACCGGTATACTAGCACGAGTACGCGCTACTGTTGACGAACAGCGTGCAGCCCGCGAAACCAAATGTGAAAAATGGTCTAGAATGGGTTTTCTCACACTACGAGCCTTGCTTACACTAGTGAAAGTATTTCGACTTTCACGCGAATTGGCTATTAAATATAATTCCAAAGACAATTAATGACTACCGCAGTGCACGCATTCTTCATTTAGGTGGGTAGTTAGAGAGATCACTTGCGGCTATCCCTCGGTGCCGCACAGGCTAGAAGGTAGAACGCAGCGCAGTCTAACCCACTTTTCTTCATAAGTCATGCACCACACGACGGGGGTCATTCCAGGAAAGGGCCTGCATCCTGCAATGCTACAGTAATTATGCATTCTCTGTAAAAAGTCGGAATCGTATACGTCATCTACAATTGAGGGCGGATTCAGGTCTCCCTTCCAACAATTTTAAATATCATACAAATTTCAAGTCAAAGCAACTTCATGTATTTTTGATGGGAGAAAGTCGGAACCTGAAAAAACGCGCCTCTGATTGGCTGATTTTAGCCATTTTGACTTGCATCCATGGCACACTGCATGGCACACCGCCAAAGAAGAAGGCCCGCACGCTACCCGTTTGCAGTGCTGTGACGACGGCGCCGCCCGTAGCTGCCGCTTCTGGAGACACGCCTTCGGCACCGGACTCAGCGATGCAACCCTCGAGCGCACCGTCGGCGTTGCCGCTTCGAGCGAGGATCATCCCGCCCCCTCCAAGTCGGCGCTGCGCAAGGTCAAGGTGCAACGATGAGAGTCCCTCACGCTCCAGGACCTGCATGACAACCGGCTCTCGAAATTCTCGAAGAGCCGCTACGCGAGCGTTATCCGGCAGATCGTCAAGTAGCTGACAGAGCCCGAGCTTGACGACCGCCTCAACGCCGACGGTACCATCAACCTCGAAACGTTTACCTACGGCGACTCACACGAGTTCCTTCTCTTAAGTGCGCCAAGAATGCAATGACGGCGCTCTCCGGCTACCGCTCGGCGCTTCGTCGCGTTCTCCAAGTTCAAACCCGCCGACCTCTCGGCGAACCAAGCCAAGATCTACTCCGTGTGGAAGTTGTCACGAAGCACTTCAAGAGCAACTTGGCCTCCGTGCACTGCGCCGATGTGACCATGCCGTCGAGCTCCGCCTCGGGCCGCGGAGGCATTTTCTACCATCTCGAACCACTTATTAGCGACGTGGCAGCAGACGCCTCTGGGTCGTGAGCGTCGGGTCTGCCAGCTCAAGTTCTGCCAGCTCAAGATCGTGACATTTGCCAAGATTCTGCGCAAAACTAGTGCGGCCTCTAGGATAACATGTAGCGTTAATAAATACAAGTCATTTCATGTTTCCCATAGCACCAAGTCGTGCACAGCATGCCATATCTGCGCAAGTGTGACCTCCATAGCACCAAGTCGTGCACAACATGCCATATCTGCGCAAGTGTGACCTCCATGGCGCACCCAGGACCTTGTTGAATATTAGCCAATCACCATGCGGGAAAAAGGGTTATGCCCAGATTCCGACTTTTTCTCGTTATAGCTCATTGAATCGGCATGTAGCCGCGATTTCTCTACCGGTATCTACATGCGCGTCTCTGTGACCCCGCGTCTCTGTGTCCCCGCGTCTCTTTTTATGTCCCTGCATGCTCTATGTGGCGTAGCTACGCTGGCGGCTGCGTAGCAATTGATTTTTGATATCGCCATAGCGGCATTCATGCGCATGGCCAACTTTCTCGAGGATAAAAATTACAGCGGCGAGAATCTTGTGCCGCCACGCCTCGATACCGACCCCAAGCCAAGGACCAAGCCAAACACCAAGCCGACAACCAAGCGCACGCAGTGCGGTAGCACGTCCAGCAAGTCCAGCAAGTCGAGAAAGGTTCGTCGGGACTTCCAGGTATCGATAGTCTATGCAATAGACTTGAATGACTTACCAAAGCTAGGAGCGACCGGCCTCGTGGGAGCCGCAGCTCAACGACGGCGGTACGCGCCGTATCAAACTACTAGTATGCGGCGCGAGGTCATGCACCCCTGCCACTGAGGGCTCGGTCGCGGGCGGCTCTGTGGCTGGGGCTGATCCCGATACGTCGTGCTTCCAAAACACGATCGCAACCGCGGCCATGCTTCTTGGAGTCTCTCCTACATGGAAGGGCGAGCCAACGAACGAGTACATCAAACGAATGGGTCACAAACCAGCCGACGGTATGCCTGCGTGCATCTCGCGGGCGTATGTCCAACACCTTGGCAAGGCCTTTGGGTTCAAGGTCGACATGGCTGCGTACGACTACAATCTCTTGCGCGGGCCGCCAGGCGCCAATCAACCTATTCGGAACAGCAAGCGGCCGGTTGACGACCTCAAGAAGGCGATGGGAGAAGACGGTGTTTACCTCGTGACCACGCGCGCAAAGGCCCTCATGCACACCTTCATCGTCGAGTGGAAAGCGGGCGTCGGGACGTTCTACGAGGCTGACAATGAGATCGGCGTCCAGCTCGACGGGATGGATATACCAGCACTCAAATGCGTGCGCATGTTGCGCCTTCAAAGATAGAACTGCAATGCCAATGCACCTGGATTTACTCGGTAGACCTCGTTTTGGCGTGTTTTTATCCAGGTACAGTAGAAATGATGCAATTCAAGGTGTTTACGGCGTAAATCGAGGTCCCAAAGGATCGTCTCTCGCTAATTCACGCACCTCGTCGGATTACTGGTGATTACTGATGGAGGCTTCTCAACGTACCCTAGTGCAAAATAGAATAATTCACGTGCAGCAGGCAGAATTATGCCGTCCGGATCTCGATTTACGAATTAACGTTACACCAGATCGAAGACCAGCGCCTTAATCCGACCGGCATTCCAAGTGGAATTCACAATACATAGTAATACCGGAATGGGATGGTAGTTTTTGGTCAACACATCGCTCTAAATGAATTCCTCTCACGAAGGTCGGTCCCGCCATATTCGAGCAAAACGGAAAGCACGGTTTCTTGCAGAACCACATGAGGAAATCACGCGATATTCACTGGAATAGAACCAAACCAAGGAAATTCTTGTTTTCTTAAACCAAACCGACATGAGGTAAATTACGTGACTAGAACCAAACCAAATGTTGGTGTCGCCGTTGGTCAATGGGTGCAAACCAGCACTAGGTTCGCAGGATGGAGAAAGCTACAGTCTAACACAACGCGTGCAATCGGGGATCGAAAAAACCATGGTCTCGTTGTTTAACGCCTTGGCTTGGGCTGCGGATTGGATGCGGTGAATCCGTCGTTATGCCCATCCGTCAAATGCTTGTATTTGCTTGGAAGAGACGAATCGTCAGAGAACGGAGTATCCCGTTGAAGAATACAACGATCGAGCTATTTTTACGCATCTCAGTGTGTCCTTGCCAACCGTTAACGCTCTCGTTTAAAGTGCTTTCGTTGCATGCACTGTGTTGCGCGCATGGACAGAAGTAAGGTTTTTCTCGCCAACATTATTCGTCTAATTGTCATTCAACCTCTCCGAAAGCAGCTATTGCTTTCCATTCCTATAGAGAGCAAGGACCGACATTTTTTACTGCGAAAATAAAAAAATGACAAAGCACCTGAAATAGCATTGCTATCGCTATGAATTTTGCTCCACCCTGCGTTAGTCGAAGCTTTAGACAACGGCGTTTGGTTATTTATAACCGCGCGTCGAGGCATGGTGTACGTCCCAACGTATCTCACTTTGGAATTGGATTTGGATGGCGTCGACCAACAAGTACGCCGTCACGGTTCTCACCAAGCCGACGCTTTGGACGTACGCGCACCGAGCGCACGCGTTTCTCGTCGCCGCCGCCAGTCTCTTTGTCGTGCTCCTCGTCGCCGGCGATGCGATTGTCAACAATTGGGCCCTCGTCAACTTTATGGGCGGCGGCTACTTCTTCGTGACACCGATCGCTGCCGCGACGAGCCTGGACTCGCTCGGCGCGCAGTACAGCTTTGCTGCCAATATGGGCCTTCAAGACCTCTCGAAAAGTGGCCGCTGGATGAGCAACTATACGGTGACGCACATGGTTGCGAAAAGCGAAAAGATCTACGTGATTGCGACAGGCGACATTCCGCTCACGCCCCACTCGGTCTTGTGTCCGATCTTCGAGGCTCGCTACGCCGTCGACTTAAACGCTACGAACGGCCGCGTGCACCTCGCACTCGCGTCCGACGCCGTGTCGTTCTTCCGCGGCAATGCGATCAGCCATGCGTTTACCGACGATGACAGCGCCAACCTCGCCAATGCGTCCATGGGTGCTCAAGAGCTTTTCGCACTCAACTATGTACCCGGGCGCGTCACCGTGGACAAGCGCTTTACGAACGAGATCCAGCTACGCAATACGACCGCGCCGCAAACCCACGTCGTCTCGTACTATCGCATCTTCTCCCGGTCGCTCTGCACCGGCTGCGACCCTGTCGCCGAGCTCGGCTATGGCAGCTGCAACTTTACAGTGGTGTACAACGACAGCGCCAAAGCGGTCACTGTCACCAACAGCACCTATGTGCCTGGCTCTGTCTACAAGCTTGGTATCGTCATGCCCCACACCTTTTTGGGCGAGCTCGCGCTGGTCGCAAAATCGATTGCGATCGCGTTTGCTGTTCTTGGGTACCTCGCCAGTCGGCGCACGGTGCAGTGGCCGGACGCTACCCACGTCGAGTCGAGCCTCGCCAAAGCGCTGCGCACCATCTTGCCAAAGTGCTTTCCGTACCCAAGCCACGCACTCAGCTACAGCATGTTTTGCTACAACTCGGATTGGTTCGTCATTCTGTACGCGTTCAGCGTGCTCATCGACATCCGGAACTGTCTCATGTACGTTCGCAACGTCAACTTGTACACAATGTACGCGCCACAGTTTGGATACTCGCTGCAGCTCTTTGCTCTCACCTCCCGCCTTTTATGGGTCAACTGCGCGATTCTCAAGTGCACGAAAGGGCTCGTCCATATGCTGAGCGTCGCACAGTACGCAGGCGAGAGCCGACTCGTCGGCTTCTTCAACCTCAGCAGTGTCTCGTGGCTCTACGCCAGTGCCATCGCGCTCTTCTACGTGCCACCGTTGATCGAATACAACAACAGCGTCGTTATCAACCTCACCAATGCCCGCGAGCGCATCGACGGTATCTGCGTCGGCGTCTACGACGGCTTTTACATGCGCGTCGCGACGTCAATTGCCGTGGGACTTGTCGCCAACATTTTCCTTGTCACGGGCCTCAACCACGTGTGCAGCTACAAGTACTGGCAACTTGTGGCAAAGAACAGTCTAGCGCGCCAAGCTGTCTTCAACAGCAGCTCGATCGTGTGCGACTACCTCGACGGACTCCAAGCGGATGGCGACGGCTCCATTTTTGTGCTGCATGCTCGCCGAGTTAGCACGCTTCAGTGGTTTTTCTCGAGTCATTTAACGCTTTTCGGGCTGCCCGAGAAAGGGCTCCGCGCCAAGAAGCTGCAAGTCGCCACGCAGCAGTCGCAAAAGGCGCCGTCCGCACGTTCCGCCAGCGCCGCGATTGCGTGTAGCACGACCGCTAGCAATGCAAACGCAGAAGACGACGCGCGCGACTGCAGTGTCGTCCAAAGCGGAGACGCTGCGCTGCACCTTCTCGATGGGCGTTTGGTCGAGGTCTCGAACCTTGCGTTCAACATCAAACTGCTCAAAAATCTCACCGTGACAGTTAAATAGCAACCACGTTGTTCTTGACTAATACTGTAGCGGTGTATAATCGCAGGTTGCAGAAGCGGTAATAGTCCACATTGTAGCATCTGTTATCTAGCACACAACCGCACGACGCAATTACTTCAAGGTCAAGATCTTGTCCCTCACAGAAGTGACGAGAATTCACGTTCATGCAAAACTGGGAGAAAAAGCGGTGTCGATGGTCTTGCAGTCCCTTGCCGCCAAAACATGATTGGAGATATAGTGTGCCCAGCGTCTTCTCATAATATAGGGATGTATGGAACCTCCAATAGGGTTAACGTGAATGTACGTGTAGCAAGTGGTTCAATCATGGACGAATTGAACGCTGAGGCGACGTGGCCTCTTGTGGAAGTCATCCAGCCAAGTTTGGGTGATTTTATCCTCATTGTTTAAAATAGTGTGTGCGTGGTCTCTCAGTTCGTCCACCTGCACGGCAAACGACCGTATAGAGCGAAACCGTTTTTGTATCAGCGACCCGATCCGACAAGGTGTGCGGCCAATGGTGGCGGCTGTCGTCGCCGCCACTGAGATGCCCGTTTTACGCCACACCACGGCGTGCATCTCCTCGTGCCCACGAAAGCAGTTTTGCAGCTTGCACGAGTCTAAGTGCGTCGCTATCTCGTCCACATACTGTGAGGTGGCTGCCGCGCGCCACCGAGAAACACGTCCCAGCTGTCACTCTGCGTTGCCCAGCATACCGAGTCCCCGCATTTGTCGCTGCCATAGGCGCCACGGCGCTTGCAGGCCTAGAGGGACGCGGTGCAACCCGACGTCTCACAGCGCTGTAGTCCATAGCTGGATCACCGTCACTTTGCGGCCACAGCTCTTCTCTTCGTTGACATTTGGCCTTGGTGACCGACCACGGTACTACATACGAGGTACGAGGCCCGGGGCTTGACCTCGTTGTCGAGCTCGATGCACTGCAGCATGAGCGGCTCTAATCGTGCGGAGCGTTCATTTGCCGGCCAAGGATGGCATCGAGTGGTGTCATCGAGTGCTCGTTGGGCTTGTGTACCACCCTCCGTGCGCAGACGAAGCAGGTCTCAACAGCAGTGGAACGCTCAATTTGACGATGTGGAGCACGAAACCGGCAAAACACTTAACGGCAACGACGTGCAGTGCAATGGTACACGCCCCGAGCTGCAAGAAGGGCCGCCGTGATGTACTACGGCGGTAGCTCGAGCCCCAGACGTACTCGATGCACTTGCTTCCACCTTATAAGACAACCCCATTCGCTGCATTAGAGTAGCCCTCGCAAGTCAAGATGCTCCTTACGTCTATGTGCCACCACGCGGGTGCGACCGCAGCAGCGTGGACCGATCTGGGACGTATGCAGACAGCAGCTTGACGGGCGAGTGCACATCGTGCTTCTTGGTGGGCATCGCTCGCGGGTACCTACTGCAACGATACGCTACCTTTTGCCATTCATCAATATCGCATACTCGTACTTTTTTGCGGGCTTCACGGCGACGCTACGGCACAAGCCCTGCTGCCAGCTGCAGGTATCGTCGCGTAGTGAGTCCTAGTACCAAAAGGACATGTGAGCCAGAGCTCTGTCATCGACATGTATTGCAGTACGCACAGATCGACGTGGTGATGGGTAGTGCTCAAGCGAGGGTCTACGTGAAGGAGCCATTGACGTTAGAGGCGCTCGAGCTGGTGAACGCCGACGACGACGAGCAAAGTGTTGTAGCGCGGACTGGTCCTGCGCATCTAGGGTGTTTCGACATGAGCGCAAGATGGTCAATGTGGTCGAGAGCTAATGTGTCGTGAACGTCGGCAGTGAGCTGGAGCGAGTGACGTCTCATCGATCCTCTTGCAACGAAACGTCGCACGATACCGCTGGGTTGGACATGGGGAGCGGACGTGAAGACAAGCGTCGATTCATGCCGTCTATCAACCACCCACTAAGCGGTTGGACCATCATCCAGCAGAAACCCGCTCCAGCCCGTGGCCGCGGCCGATCAACCCGCTGGGCGATCCAAGGTCGAGGCCTGAGAGCCTGACCGACGTCGCGAGGCACCCAGCGCAGCAAGACCTGGTTCGCACAAATGTGCGCATGTGCGTGATTGGCCCAAATTGAACTGCGGCTGACCCCAGTGTTCCGACCTTGTCTGCCCATCGTACCACGCACCACCCACTGCACGCGATGGAACATGCTACGCCATGTATTATTCTATTTGGTGCGACAACCATGAGTCGTGGCTCGAGGCAAAAGCGTCAAGCAGCAGCGCGGGAACCTTTGTCCCCGTGCTGTGTATCAACGTGCATCAAGGACTGTTGAACTCGTCAAAGAATGTATGTCTTTCACGTGCGAAGTGACGTACGGTACTCGTGCCACCGATCACTCGATGGGTGTTGCGCGTCAGTCGTTCTCTGCTCCGGATACTACGTAAGGATGAGCTGGCTGTCGCCAGATATTTCGGCGGTCACAGCGAGGGCGAAAGGCACGTTGCGAAAGGCATGACGGCCAACTACTGTACGACCGTCCTGCAGCTAGACGCAGGGCGTTCTTCATCTCGGGCCAAGACCTCAATCTTCGGTCTGCATGTGTACTCGAGTGGGAAAGCGGACTTGGTTTCACAACGACTAGGCACTGCAGCGGCCCCTCGTAACATCTCACTTGGTTGCGGAATGAGCTGGAGATGGATAGTGATCGGCGTGGTACGCTGGTGCCAAGCTTGAGCTTGCAGGACGAAGGTGAGGCAGCGCAAATCTATAGGAAGCTGCTGCAACCCAAAGAAGCGGGTCCGATACCTCTTTATGAATCGAGAGTCTTTTCCTTCGGCTTAGTCGATGGCTGTTGTCCTTGCGTCCCTTCTGCGTGGCATGTTGATGGTGCGGCCATAGTGGTTCCAAAGTCGTTGGCAAGCTTGGTCCAGCCCAGCTGATAGAAAACACATGGTCGATCGTCTGGCGCCATTGAGCGATTCGATGGCGGAGACAGAGATCGTCGTGATCGCAGCCCCGAGCGCGCCGGTCCAGAAGATGACGCGCCGTCGCGAGCGTCGCAAACGCAATCGCAAGACGCCGGCTGACAAGCCAGCCCAAGCAAAGAAGCACGGCAAGGTGAAGCCCGCCTTGGAGCACGGCGCCGACGTCGTCCAGCGCCAGCGGCCGAGCAGGCTGCCGTTGCCACATGCTGCCGGCCATCGGTGCAGACACGATCAACGACGAGCGATCATCAACGGCGCAGAGGTGGTCAACGGCGAAGCGCCAACGATGCTACTCCCCCGACGTCCAACGTGGTGCTATCGAGCCGCCGTGTGTAGGCGTACCAGCGCCCAAGGCGCGGAAGAAGGCACATTACGGCGTCAAATCGCGCAACAACAGCGCCCTTGTCGCGATCAAGGCTGCGATGCGTGCGCTTGGCATGACGCAGCGCTAATCGGACGCGGAACTGAGCACGCTCCTCGTCACGCTCGGGGTTGTCGACGGCGAAGGCCTTCATCCCGAGGTGATCGTTCCTCTCTTCAACTTTTCCTCGCTCGAGGGTTCAACTACGACATCCCGTCCTATTATACAAGGAGGGTGTTAAGGTCGCATGCCGCACACAACGCGTGGCCAGCGACATCATCGAGCATTGCGTCGACGGCGTGTACCACGTGATCACGCACGAGCAGTTTTACCGAGCCGACGACAGCACTGCACCGCGCGAGTCGACGCCCATGTTCCACGTCAAGTGCGTTCTCGCTGAGCCCAACGCGGCGGCCAAGTACTTTGACGCTGGACATTGGCGCAACCTCACGCTCGTCTCGATCTAAAACAGCACGACCTTGAGTCGCATCCGCAAGGTCATTCCCGCTATCCAGCAGGCGCTCCGATTGTTGTCATTCGTTTATGTGTCCAGATCACCCGCCGACTTTAAATCTAGGAGTCTCTTTCTATATATAAACATCTATTGTAGCGTTGAATTTAGTAGCAAGCGTGTCGAGTTGAGCACGACGATACACTGCTCCAGAGCCAAACACAAACGTCTGCTTCGTCCTTCGAGAATGTCGTATCGGCAGCACGAGCACCAAGCTGCACCACTACCGAGGAGCGCAGGTTATGTCGTCCATAGCCGCGTTGTTTTTGGCTGGATTTGGGTGACGCCAATTCAAGGGCACCTGGTGCCTTAGGCCACGGCGCGCTCCGGCGTGCTGTGTGCTCTGTGTCTTACGTCCTCTGCTGTGTAAGTGCTGGTCGCTGGCAGCGGTCGGTGGTCGCGCCGATGGCGCCGCTCTTCGCGCGCTCGGCACCCCATGCCCCTCGACGATTCAGGCCCGCGAGCGCAGTCGCCCTGCCTCCACTCCGCTGCCACCAGTCGTCTGGCCTCGCCGCGTGATGCGTCGGTTTGACATGCTCGGTCGATATCCGGATTTATACGGATGCGGGCTCGGACGGTTTCGTTTGAGATTATGAAACACACGCGACGGCTTGCACACCTCTGTCGGGTGGTTCAAGTACAGGAGCCTGCGTACGACCTCGCGCGAGCTAACCCTCGGCGAGTGGGGTCCACCACGGGATGGATCTCTCCGTGCGCAGCTCACTCCCAACGACCAAGTGCTGGTGCGGGCACCAGCTCCCAGCTCCCACGCAGTCAGGCTTAGCACTACGTATGCGAAGTCTTTGAATTAGTATTTTCTAATTTGATTCCAACGCGAACACGTTTGATTGATTGATTGATTGATTGATTGATTGATTGATTGACTGATTGATTGACTGATTGATTGATTGATTGATAGCCGCGGTGCAGGCGCTTGACGCCAATTGAATCGTGCTGGACTGTCTCTGGTGGGCCTAGCGTTGTAGATGAGGCGCTACAATGAGAGGTTTGGCGAGTGATGTGTACTAGTATTGGTACCTCTGAGATGCTGTGCGACGAGCTGCTGCTTTTTTGTTCCAGTGGCAACGTGCTCGCGCATGTTGTCGGATCGCGGAAATTACAAATGGGCACCTGCATAAACACATGTGTCATACCGGATGATTTATAAAATTCTAGAGTACGATCATCCGTTCCATGACAAGGAACCCATCGTCGCGCTCATGCGTGATCCAAGACGCATCGTTCTAGGTGTCACGCATCCAGGTCGCAGAGCTGCGGGTCGCTGCGGGTCGTAAAACTCGGCTTTTGCCGCAAATACGTTGAATGACGCATAGCTTCCGCTGTACTAGTACATCCGATGCGACATACATTTCTAGTACTAGTACAGCGCAGCTTTTGGCTGGATTTGGGTGACGCCATTCCAAGGGCACCTGGTGCCTTAGGCGGCGCGGCTTGCCGCGTCGCCCGCAGGGCCACGGCGCGCTCCGGCGTGCTGTGTGCTCTGTGTCTTACGTCCTTTGCTGTGTAAGTGCCGGTCGCTGGCAGCGGTCGGTGGTCGCACCGATGGCGCCGCTCTTCGCGCGCTCGGCAAAAGGCCCGTCGAGTCCCCGGCGGCCGTCAAGAAGTCTTTGAGTTAGTTTTTGCTAATTTGATTTCAACGCGAACACGTTTGATTGATTGATAGTACAGCGCAGCATTGCATTGCGCACCCACCACAGCTCCACAACGACCGAGTCGCAACGCAGCAGGCTTTTGCCAGCTATGTAGTATCAGTCGGGCCGTTCGATGTACTACTACTGTACACGCATCCTTACCAAGCCTTCAACGGTCAGGATGCTGCCCGTCCATCGTTGCCGCCACTTGATTGCGCCCAGTACTAGAGCGTTCGATTGGCAACGCTGCTCTTTTATTCCATGTATAAATTTTGCACAAAACGTAGCACAAGAAAAGTATATATTGTTGTTACTACTCCTCACCATCGTGGTAGTCATCGTCATCATCATCGTCGCTATCCTCGTCTTCGTCGCTGTCCAATGTTGTGAGGTCGATGAGCTCAACGTGCTGGTCATCGTCGCCCTGGTCATCGGCGTCCTGGTCATCGTTGACGTCGTCATCATCGTCGTGGTCATCGGCGTTCTCGTCATCGTTGTTGACGTCGTCGTCGCCGTCTGCCGAAAGATCGATAGATGTGGGCACAAACCGGCGGACTTCCCGAATGTATGTTCGCGGAATGTAGTGGAGCTCGTCGAGCGGATGCCACTCGCCGTCTTCAAAGTACTCGCTCTTGTCGCGCTGCACGTGGACGGCGATGACGTGCTGGATGAAGCCCGGGTTCTGAGCTGTCGTGACGTGGTACATGCCGAGGCCCTCCGCGGCGCAGAACCGACGCACGTCGCCGGCCTTGTCTCTGCGCGTCTGCACGATGTCCATCTTCGTCGCGAGGACCTCGATGTCGTAGAGATACCCGTGCTCCTGGAGGAAGTTCCTGAGTCGGAATTCTTCCCGCCCCGTGATGCCCTTGCCGAGTTCGAGGCCAAGCTCGTTGACAATGAAGGCGTCGACGTCCGCCCGCGTGCACGTGAGGGCCATGTTGTAGCGCTTGGCCATCGCCATGTGGAGGTCCTCCACGCACGTCTTAGTCGAGTTGTTGCCTTTGGAGCGAAGTCGAATCGGTGGTGGGTCATAATGACGTGCGAGTGGAGAAGCATCACCAGCACGATCGCCAGCGCCCGCGCCGCCACCTGGGTCGGTCCCTGAGCTACTGCCGACCTGCGCAGGTCGCGCCGCCGATGGACGCGCTGCAGGCGCTTGGCGTACGTCAGTCGCTCTGGACTGCACTACGTTGGAATTGCGTGGGCCCGGCGTTGGCGACGAGGCGCCTGCGCCATGGTTAGCATTGCATCGACGAGTCTTGTAGCTTGGTACCTTCGCGAGCCTCCTTGAGCTTCTCCCACGCCGACCGCCGACGCGTGTTCGAGGGTCGCGTTTTCTTGTTCGTCTTCTTCTTCGATCTGTTTCTCTTCCTCTTCCGCGACGGCGGCGCGCTCGCGGAGACGGCCGGCTGCTGACTGATCGCGTCCATTGCAAAAACACAAGTGACTGGATCCATCCGCATAAAGATAGCTTCTTTCTCGGAAGGTTTATCAAGTTGTAGAGAGCGATTATCCGGCCCAACCGCCATCTTGCCCAACTGGACCAACGCAACCAACGCCCATATCCGGTAACGCGTTCATTTCAACTTAACCCCCGCTCCGCGCAGACGCAAGGAGGCTGGCCGTGGTCCACTCAAGTCGTGGTGTCTCTGCGCAGCTTGCCACGACCGACTGGCCTCGACGGCGATTGGGCCTTCAGGTCTATCGTCTCGGCTGGGAAGTCATGGTTATCCACGCAGTCCACCACGACCGGACTCGGCTGCCTCCAAGTGTACCTGCCTCGATCACTCGCGCCAAGCGCCGCACCCAGGTAAGTCTTGCACAGCTGTCTTCACGGATGACTCATCGTGTTGTAGCGCCCTTTATTAAAGTGCATCCTCCAAGAAGAAGGACCACGATGTATTTTGTAATAACATATTTGTGGCAGGTCCCCAGTACATTACCCCAATCGTCGAGGACATGCTTGTAGCACGGGAATAAGTCGATCGATCGCCACGCTGTGTCACGGACCGTCGCGTGCATGCCCATACAAGGAGGACAGACTCGCTTGCCGGCGACAGTGGCGCAATCGGCGGCGTGGCAGCGCCACGACGGGGTGTGTGGATTATCAACTCAACGAATGACGGCGACAACGGAAAAAGGGGCACGCAAACGACGGTGTGATCATCATGCTCCAACGCCCACAGCGCCGCACGTTGTGACAGATTACTGATGAAGAAGGACCGGTGGCTGCTGGGGGCCCAAGAATATTGCCATCAACAGCTGCATGTCGAGGCGCGTGAAGGTGCAGCAGGACATGTCTGCAGGAGGTGCTTGTGCGATATCCTGATTAACCATGTGAATGGTCGCCATCGTCGTGTAGTGCGCGTAACACTGTCCGACGAAGCCGACAAGGCTCGCGTAGATGGGTGCGGCGACATGCGCAGCGTGGCGCTGGCCAATCCAAACCTCCTCACGCCGTCGGCCATGTTTTTCATGCGAGCAGCATGAAAAACATGGC